TGTTTAATCAGTTCTCTGCTCATTGGGCAGTAGTGCTCATTGTTTAGCCAAAAAGCTTTGTAAGACTGCCATGTCTCCTAGTATTTCCTAGTGTAGAGCATTGGAGCGTGAGCTTCTTGTATGGGATATGGGTGGGGAAGTGGATAAGGATTATGGCTGATAAAATAACAAGCCAGACTGCCTGAATTCTTAGGGACAGGTTTGGGTAGGGTAATAGGAGGGAGATGGTACCTTGGCCACTGTGGCAGTGTGTGCTATATCTCAGACTTGGAATTTGTAGTCTGAGAGCTCTCTTCATCTTATCACCCTACAGGCCTTGGTAAATGTGTGCTAAGCAGGTACAAATGAGTGAATGCCCCTGCCCTGCCCATTAAACTGGGGAGATGTGCTCCTCTTGAGGTTTACTCTATTATGTATTCTGTCTAACAGCTGTTTCCTCTTGAAAAATTGACAGAGAGGAGGGGAACTGTCAGCGTGCCGAGATGGTGGGGAAGCAGCCAGGATAGTGACATCTGTGTATCTGCACTGGGGCCAACTGGGCCTTGCTCTCTCCCACCCCACCCCTTGCTGCAGTCTTGAGTCCACACAGTTTAAGTCCAGTGCGTAGGCAAAGTCCTGCGATTCATAACCCCATGGTAAGAGTGTATTTCAAAGGAAGAAATTTTTATAAAATGAAATTTGGAAAGTGTTCTTGTGCCTCTTACTCTTACTCTTTTTTTAAGATCTGAATCCTTCTACTTTGATTTAGTTTGCTTATGTGTTAGCACAAAGCAAAGTTTAGGGAAGGAATGTTTTTAGGGTGACTGAGGAGGCAGTTGGTTTAGATTTTTAAAACACTTTTTGAGTAACTGCTGTGTGCCAGCCCCTGTGCTGACAGTCAGGTTGTTATCCTATTTTACCTTCAGTAACCTTGTGAAGAAGGTATTAGTCTCATTTTTCTGGTGGAAAAGCCAAGACTCAGTAGGTTAAGTGATTTGTCCAAGGTTAGAAGAGTTAATAAGTGGTAAGACTAGAATATTCCAATTCAACCATTTTCATTTTACTGCAACAAAAATATCTGTCAGTGACAGAGGCCTGAGAAAGAAAAAAGAGGATGTTGATAGTTTCTAATAAATGAACTTCATTGATGACAGTCCCAGTTAGGAAGTACTGAGGAATAAATTAATGAGACCATAAAAATAGAATTGGAATTCCACGATGCAAAGCAAAAATACCAAATACCTAATAGTTTGTTTGCCTCTCTTCCTACTTTTTGTAAAAATTTTCAGTTTTGATGATATTGATTGTAAAGGCTGGAGCAGGAGGCACTGGTGTGTTGTAAGAACTTGCAAGGGAAAAGATTTTTGAGATACAAACAGCTCCTGTCGCGGCCCCTGCTCTCCAGAAATCACCAAAAGGCTGCCTATTGCTGCCTTCCCTAAGGCTGTCTCAGCTTGTTCTCTGGGAGTCTGTCCAGCAGCAAGGGAATCCTTCTACCTCAGCTCTGCTGAGAGAGGCCAGGGTATTTACCCCCAGCTTCTGTCTCCTACAGATGAGCGCCGACTTCCGGGGGGGATGGGAGACCATAAATAAAGTGCTGCACGCCCTGGGTGCCTTCACCTTCTCACATCCTGCACCTTCCCCAGGCGGAGCGCCCAGCCATTGTCCGCACGCCAACATTAGGGATGCAGGTCATACCTTGACACAGTTTTGATCCTTCAGGATTTAATGGAATTCGAAAAGGTAATCCATCATACCTCTTTATCAGATTATTATTTATTTTAATGGCTCTCGGAATGACAGCTGGAGTTAACGAGTGACTGTGAACATGAATGAAAAAATGGTTTCTGAAATCACAAGTAGAAACACAAGTGAGAGAAAGGAATTTGCATCCATCTCCTTTCAGAATTTAGCCTGTTTTTTGAGCAGTCTGGTCTTGTTTTGAGGGCTCCAGCTTTTTGGTGAATTTTCCTCATTAGAAAACCCTTGGGTCTCCTGGGAAAACCTTCTGAAGAGAAGCTTGTGAGGGTTGTGTTCTTAGTGATGGACGTTTCCTGAAGGCTTTTCACCCTTCTCGGCCTCAAAGTACTATTGCAAGCCCACAGTTAGGCATTGGTCCGGGATTAGGACGTGACCCAGGGAAGACTCCCAGCAGGTGAGCAGGCAGCTGGAGCAGATGGAAGGGAGGGTGACACAGGACAGGAGAGCCTGTTTTCATGCAGATGTTCTCGTGCAAAAGCAGAGGAGCAGAGGGATCAGGGCCTCCTGAGTAGGGCAGCAGAAAAGATTTAGTGTGCGGTTTGTTTTATATTTAATTTAAAATAAGGACTTTGGGGCATGGTTTGCAGCTGCTAATGGTGGTTCTATACACAGGCCAGTGGGACTGCTGGTTTATTTCTTGATTCTTTATGTGTTTATTGAGTGTCTACTATCTGTTGGGTACAGTAGCATGCTTTCCGTCCCATAATGATGACACAGTCTCTGGCCTCAAGGAAGAGGCGGTCTAGAGGAGAAAGACACTCCAGTGATCAACCCTCTCTCTGGACAGGACTCTATGAGAGGTGCTGTCTGAGAGATGTGCGGGCTACACCTCGAGCCACGCAGAAGAATGTGGAGGGCCAGGAACTGTACCCCACAGAACACAGCCTTTTTCTTCTTTTCCCCCCTTCCACCTTCTCCCTTCTCTTTTTTCCTTTAAATGAGGTAGGATCTTAGTTAAAAGTTCAGACTAAAATTAACTTGGATATTTTTATCTTTCCTGTCAGTCTTAATCCTACCTGGCAGTTACTGTGACATCAAAGGCTGGATATGTTAAAACACGGAACTGTTATCGTCCTAATTGTTTTATCCACTTAGCACAGGAAGGCTCCCGTGCTGTTCCAGTGACCGGAAGCGCACACCTGGGGAAATACTGCCATTTGACTTGTGCGTTTGACATGAGCTGTTGAGCCTGGCCCAGATGCAGGCTGCATTTCCCAGGAGTGGTGTAGGGGAGAGAGGGAAGGTGTGGTGCTCAGTCTGACGGCCCAGAGCACTACCGCTTTCCAGCTTGCAGCAGCCAGCAGTTTGACCCCCTCTCCCCGAAAGCACTCTAAAATCCCCTAAGCTGCTCCTCTGATAGAAAGAATTCAAGGCTATGAGGCTTAGTTCTGCATCTCTCCTATTCTGTACTGTAGTGCGTAGAATATTTTATATATAACATCGTGAATAGAGCATTTTATTTATAATGCTGAAGAGCACATGTTGTACTGCTAACTTGCCTGTGTTTAGGTGCTGACTGCCCTGCTGACTATTTGACCTTGAGCAACTTAATTAATCTGGCCAAACCTCAGTGTGCTCATTTATAAAATGGATGCAAAGGTAATAGTAGCTGATAGGATTGTTTTGAAGAGTTGCTGAATTGTCCTGTGAAATAGTCTCTCACTGGGTAGACAAGGGTTGAGATCAGGGATCCAATCTGAAAGTACAGCACAGCAATCACTTCTGCGGCTGTTACAGCAGGCGGCATTGTATTTCCAAAACCTCATCTTGTGCCTGGAATTGTGTGTTTGTGTGTGCACACAAGTAGGGGCTGGCAGCTGCTCCCTCCAAGCACTCACCAATTCCCAGTGTTCAATAAAGGCTCCGTGTATCTTAGAGAAAGAGGCTGATTACGATATGGCTCAGACAAAGCTCCCTATGCCAGGCTTGCAGCTGAGGCAGGGCTGAGCTGGCCTCACCACTGCCCCTGGGGTGATGGAACAGGCCCCAGAAGGGGCTGGACAGGCAGGTCAGCGGTGCTGCCATGCAGCAAGTGTGCATCTTACACCAAGGACACTGCGCTGGGGAATCTGTCCACCCTTGGGAGGACTGGAAGAGAGATGAGAGGCTTTAGGACACAGGTGGGTTTTTTTGTTTGTTTGTTTGTTTGTTTTGCCAAGCTAATGCTCCAAGGGAAACGTAGAGCAGGACAATAATCCACCATGAGGATCAGCAGCTGTCCACATACTCAGGGCCCCAAAGGAAAAAAAAAACCAGACCAAGTAGAAGCTGGATCAGAAGGCAGATGACCTTTCAAAAAAGGAATTGTCCAGCCAGGTGTCTTGATTTTTCTTTCTTCAGCAACCTGATTGTCCTTTCTTCTCCTTTGCCCTTACAGAAAATGAAGGAGTACCTGGAGGGCAGGAACCTCATCACCAAGTTGCAAGCCAAGCACGACCTTTTGCAGAAAACCCTGGGAGAAAGTGAGTGTGGGACCGCTGTGCGGGAGGCTGGCAGCAAGGGGAGGCCCCGCCGAGCTTTCTTGCTGAGCACGAGCCTGAGCCTCCATCCTCAGCTAAGTGGACCCGATCTGGTTCTGTGGACGGTCTTCTTTTCCTAGCCTTTTTGGTGTGGAGGCACAGGCCCCAGATGACTGCTTGAGTGATGGGGAAAGGGTGCTGCTTAATGAAGCACTAATGTGCATCATCTGTCTGATTCAATGGAGCGTGCTGCCACTCCACCCTGGCCCCTCCACCCTGGCCCCTCCTCTGCCTCCTCCTCTGCCTCCTTTCCCCCAAAGAGCAAACGGGCTGCAGGGTTATTCCCTCTGCAAACACCATGTTTCAAGTCTCGGCTCTTTGCTGTGGGACTAAGGCCAGAGCGAGAATGTAGGGGACCATGAGATGAGACATGCAGCAGCTCTGAGCAAGGAGAAGTCCTCCAGTGCAGGGTGGACGGGCTGCTGTCTGCTGTAGCTTGTAGGGCAGCCTCCATTTCCTTCTGCTTGGAAGGCTCTGGATGCTGCCTAAGTGGCAGCCCTCTGTGCTGTGGCCATCCTGAGGCCATGGTCCTGAGAGGACCGCCTCATCTCAGACGATGATCTTAACCAGGCCCCGGAAAGTAGCGAGGCAGAGGACTGGACTGGCACTCTGGACTTTCTCCCCTCGGCCGTCAAACAGAAGGCGAAGTTTGAAAGAGAAGCTTCCTGGGCACGTTTGGCACCTGCCCAGGTCTCCTGCCTCGCCCTCAGCATCCTATGATTAATGGGACTTCCAGGGTGGGGATGCCTCCGAATGCCCTTCCTCTCCTCCTGCCCACTGCTGCCTCCACTTAAAGATGGGAGGGTATTAAAGGGGGAGGCTACAAGGGCCACGTAAGTGACAGGCAGGCCTGCTCGTACAGAGTTCTGGCAGTTTAAGATGAATTCTTGAGCACTCACTAGACGAGCTACAGAATAGAGGAAAGTGTGCGGGATCCATTGGTTCCCTGGCCCAGGAATTGGAGTCTGTTTTTCACTCCAGAACCTCCTGGCTCTCCACCTTGCCCTCCTTCTGCTCTGGACAGTTCTTCTTTCTCTAACGTCTCTGATCTCACTTTTAAGACATTTTTTTAATGTGAAGAAAGCCTTCTGGGTAACTTCTGGCCTCTTTCCTCTCTATCACCTAAGAGGCTCAGACTAAACAGGTCCAGGCATTGAAGTGTTGCTCATGAGAAAATCTTTACTGTTGAGATTATCCAGTTGCTCCACAAAGAACTGAAGGAAAGAAAGCCCAGCACTATTTGAAACAAGTTATAGCTGTGATTCTTTTGTTTTTTTGAGGGGAGGTCAGACAATCTAACTGTAGCCATGAGTAAGTAGGGAGCTGTGTGTGTGTTTGTGCGTGCACGCTAGTATGAATGGGTTTGCTCACCACATGTGTGTGTACCAAATGCGCTGCTCCAGAGGGATGAAGGTTGACCATTCATTAGTGCTGCAAATTGCCTTAATCAAAAGATGACAAGTTCTAGCAATAAAGGAAAAAAATAGCTGTAAATCTTCCTGTGTGCTAGACGTCATGTCCCTGCCTTCTGTATATATTTGTCACCATAATGCAAGAGCCCCTTGTTCTTGCCACAGAGGGATAATTGATGTGTATGAATATTTCAGAATGGAAATGGGACAGATGTTGAAAATTCTGGCTCAGAATAATATTTTTGCAGATGAAAGCTGAGCTATTGGTAAGGGGAGGCTGTCGGGGTGGGGGATGATGTTGCTCTGGATAAGCTGAACTGTAATCAACAATTAGCAAGCTTTAAAGGCAAGAAAAAGCCCTGCCCTCTCCTAGCCCTTGGAGTTGAAGCTTGAATGAAGAATGCAGGAGCTGCTCCCTCCTTCCCCAGCTCACTGCCTTCCACAATTTGCCCTGGTTTATCTGACACAGGTCTAATAAAGATCAAGCTTCTTTAACTGTAGACACAAAGAAAGCAACATATATTACATCATGGCCCATGGATCCATGTAAATGTATTTTTTAGAAAACATAAGAGTGCTTGTTATGAATTTGAGGTGTTTAATTTCATTTTACCACGGTTCACTAGCAGTAGTGGCAATGAAGCTCACCTTTGCCTTGCCACCCTAGTCCCCCCTAGGGTGGAGGCTGGCTGCCCCCTTTCCCTTGTCATCACTAACCCATCCGGTTCTAGAGTGTAATGGGCTTTGCTGAAATACACCCAGAGGCTCCCCAAAGCCCCTGTACTGCAAGGAAAATAAACATTTGACTCAAGAGGGAGGGATCCTGGTAACCTAACCTTAGCTTCAACGTGTAGGTTTGGGAATTCACTGACCCATAGAGGATGATCAGGAGATAGCATAACTTCATATGAATCTAAAACTAGAATGCCCATCTTCTCACCCTCTCCCCAAGCAACTCCTTTTCCTTCTTCCTCTCCCAGCCCCAACTGTGTGTGTGTGTGTGTGTGTGTGTGTGTGTGTGTGTGTGTGTGTGCATTCACACACTCAGGAACGAGCAAGCATTCCCCAGCACTCCTACCACTATGCATAGACCCAGCACACACATCAGAAGCTGAAGCTTCTCTCTGGAAAGACTTCTAATAATTTGTTGAAGTATAATCTGCCGAATTCCTCTACATCCATGCCTGTTTCCCACCAGGAAGCAGAGTTGCCAAGTATAAGGTTTAAGGGTACCAGCAACTGTGGCCTGGGAACCAGCAAAGCATGTGCTTGCCTGAAGGAGGCTTTGGTCATTCTGAGGAGTAGGCCTCCCCTCTTTACCACTTTTGCTTCAACATATGCTTTTCGCCTTTATCTTTGCAGGTCAGCGGACAGATTGCAGTCTGGCCAGGTAGGTGTGGTTTGGAACAGGCCTAGGGAGGGTAGAGGCCCATGGGACCTAGGGAGATTCTAGCCTGGGAAAGAGCCAAGGGGTTGAGTTGCAAAGACAGTGCATGGTTTTGCAGAGGAGTGGCCTAGGGTGGAGGCTGTCTCTTTCCCCTGTCTTCACTAACCCATCCGGTTCCGGGTGGTAATGGGCTTTCCGGATTGCAAGGAAAATAAACTTTTGACTCAAGAGGGAGGGATCCTGGTAACCTAACCTTAGCTTCAAGTGTAGGCTTCAGGAATTCACTGACCCAAAGGGAAGATCAGGTGATAGCATTTGATCTGAGGCATTTCTACACGTGGAAAACACGACAGTCCCTGGTGGGTGAACGTTGTTGGATAGAGCGGTTCTGCATTGCTCTGGCTTGCCAAATAGCCTTGGTAGAGTCCTTTCCTGATGTACAAGTATGCAGCTCTCCCAGTCTTTCCCCACCTTCCCCTCCCTGTCCTACCCAGCCAAATACTTTCCCTTCCAGTCACAGTGCTGCTGTGAGAAAACTCGTGAGCTAGCAGAGAGCAAGGCATTCATTCAGCCAACAGTTCCCAGATGCCTAAAAATGTGCTGATTTAACTGGAGAAAGTGCTTTAATGGACCAGACTCCTTAGAGACCCTGTGTTTGCCCATTATATCAACCACTCATATCTGCCAGCACACAAAATAATCATGAGGCCATTTACAATTATAGGCCCATTATTTGGAGATAGCTTCATTTGGCTTTCATCATTTTGTCGTTGTGGATTACAAAAGTCCCGTTAATATACCAATCTTGAGGACTGGAAGGAGCCAGGATAATGGAATTCTGTGGAATGTATCCTCGTTGATATAGTCCAAGTTCACATGAGGTCCTTTGTCTGTAGAAGTTTCTGGAAAAACTGAGAAGAGCCGAGTTCCCTTCCCTGATGCTGGGCTACTTCACTGTGTGTGACTTTGAGCCACTCCTCTCCCTTCCCAGGACACCAGCTTCCTTTTCTAGAAGATATGAATGTTACATTAGACCTGAGAAGCTCTAGGATTTCAGAGGTTCCTCAGGAGTAGGCTGGCAGTGGAAACAGAACAAGGCCCAGCAGCCAGGCCCCAGCCTCTACCTTCACTTAAAGCTGAGCAGCACCACCCTGTTTTGGGTGCTGTGTCTCCAAGTCAGACTCGCTTGGAGGCTGAACACAGATTGCAAACACACCAACAGAGGATCCCCAAGGTTCCTGCCAGTCTGGATGCTCTACCCTCTAAATAAACTGCTCCCTCTCTTTTCCCTGAGGATCCAGGAGGAAGCAGATGGGAGCATCCTTTGGTGTTAAGTCTCCTTGCAAGTGAAGAGATATTACTGTCTAATTCAAAATTGTTTTACTACAAATCAAACTAGTTTCCTCCTATTCAAATTTTGAATGGTGGTAGACAGTAAAAGCAGGGGCCCCAGTGCCTTCAGGAAGAAAACCTTTACTGGGCTTTAGTTGGGAAGTAACCTAGCAAGCCTCGTAGCCATTTCTTAGATTGAGCTGAAAAATATGACTGTTTCATTAACCATTCTGTAGGGTGTTTTCCCAATTAAAAGCTTTACCTCTGGATTTCAGAGTAGTTGTTTATCTCATTCTGTCCCAATTTTCTTTTTCCTTCCTATTGCTGGATTGGTCCTCTTTGATTTGGTGGAATCAACCACAGGCGTAGCTCAACCGTGAGGAAACAGGTAAGAGTCCAGTAAGAGCCAGGCTGCCTGGCATGGAACCTGAATGCATCCCATAGCCATCTTAAGGACTGCACTGTGGACAGGGCGGATGCTTCTCTGACCTCACGCCTGCCTCGGGAATGTACCCATGAGTCATGGTATGGTTAAGGTTTTGGGTCATTATCTATTGAACTTGAGATGGAATGGTCATAGTCTTTATGACTAGTTCTCCTCCCTCTGTGTATTCGAGGTTTGATCTAAATGGAACAAATTGTGCCAGAACTGCCCAGGGCAAAAGAAGCAAAAGAGGCCTCTCCCCCTCACATCCACACTAAGTGGCAGGGACTCCCAGCAGCTGATCCCCTAGGGAGGACAGTCTTGTTCTAGGTTTGGAGCTTTCTTTGTTTCTACAATGTGGTCATCCTAGGTGTCGCTGACACGTGCTGATAGTGCAGAGCTGCGTCTGCTCTGGGAATGACAGGCAAGAGCTGTTCAGCGCTGCAGTTTGGCACGTGATCTGCATGGCTGTGTTGAGCCCGTGCTCATTGCCCTATCAGGAGGGGTCTTGGGGAGCGGTGGTGCGGATGATCCGCAGCACTTGTGCTTGTAGGAAAAAAGTAATTGAAATATTTTTTGCAGTAGCAAATCTGACTTCCTAATTATACTTTATGGGAAATACTGAGATGGTTTTATGTCCTCTAAGCTTGTACCAGCTTTGCAGAAAGTAGTCAGCAAGGAGAGGGTGGAGAGAGCTCAGAAATATCTTTGTGTCTATTGAGGGGAAAAGTGATCCGGGCCTTACAGAGTCTTTTGGGTAACTCAAAGAGGCCCTGGCCTCAGGGAGATTCCCTCATGCAGAGGCACACGGTCTCTGTGGTGTCACAGTCCCAGCAGTCTCAGCTCATCCGACTGTGCCTGCCGGGTAGGCGGGCCTGGAACTCGGAACACATGGGCCTCACTTGTCACAGCTCTGCTGGCATTATTCCCCCACCCTTTGGATCTGTGTTAGTAAGAACACATGAGAGGTATTCATACTTTCCTTTTCTTTCTTTTTTTGAGATAGGGTCTTGCTATGTGTAGTTCACAGTGGCCTTGAACTTTTGTGTGGCCCAAGCAGGCCTCAAACTTGTGGCGATCCTCTTGCTGCCTCAGCCTTCCAAGTGCTGGGATTACAGGCGTGCACCACTACACCTGGCTCTTTATACATTTTTAAATGACAACAATTTCATTGCATCTCTCTCCCTTCTGTTCTTTGATTTCTTTCTTCTTTCTCCCATAATTTTATTTAAAACTGAAGAGGAATAGAATACCTTCCAGTGATCATTTATGGCATTTAAAATTGATAGGTGGATGTCTTAAAGTGTAAGCAAGCCATTTTCCGCTTAATACTCTGGTAAATAATAGGGTTAATCTTGAAGTTTGTTCCCATTCCCAATCTAAACTGACCTCCCTGCTTAGAGACAGATCGAGCCTATGTGTGAAGGCTCTGCAGCTTCTTCCCTGGCCTGGGGAGCCCTGGTGTGGCAGGTGATGGGCACCCCGATCAGCCTCACTGTTGGAAAAGAGTGGCACTTGGCTGCTTTGTGATTTGCATCCTGCTGCACCTAAGCCTTTGCAGACTTGTGTATTTGCCTGATGCCAGATTTGCATAAGAGTTCCAGGATACATCATAAACCCCAATCCAGTGAGGGCTTTGCTTTTCTTCTGTTGCCCCCTGTCTTTCTCCAGCAGTTCAGATCTGTTGGTGGATCAAGAAAAGGTTTTTCCAAGATGGTTGGGAGGGTAAAATAGTAGGTATTTTCAAGTTGGGTAATCTTGTATAGGTAACCCGGAAGGCTGTTTGTTTATGACAAGTTGGTTTTCGAGGGTGCCTCTTGGAGTCCATGTTCTTTTTTTGCAGTGCTGGGGATTGAACCCGGGGCCTCACATATCCTAGGCAAACTCTCTACCACTGAGCAATGTCCTAGCCCCTTACAGATTAATTTTTTTCTTTTGAGACAGTCTTTCTGCCTCAGCCTCCCAAATAGCTGGGATTACAAGTGTCTGCCAGTGCATCAGTTCCCAGTCATTTTGACTCTGTTAAAGATGAATTTTAAAACATCCCAGACTTTTCTTAAAATGAAGGCACCTTATCCCATTTGACCCAGCTATTCCCCTGCTGGGTATCTTCCCCAAAGAATTAAAAGAATCATACCACAGCGATATATGTGCACCCATGTTCATAGCAGCACCGTTAGTAATAGCTAAAGCTTGGAAACAGCCCAAGTGCCCATCAGCTGGAAACTGGATAAAAAAGATGTGGTTTTTTATAAAATGGAGTACTACTCAGCCATAAAGAACAAAAAACTAGAGTCATTTGTAGCTAAATGGATGTATATTGAGGCCATACTCTTAAGTGAAATAAATAGGATACACGTGTAAATACTGAATAGTTTCTCTAGTGTGAGAAACTGAAGTGTAAACAAGGGTTAAAATGATTAAAATGAATAATTGATAATTGATAATTTGAAATAGGAAAAGGTCCAAAGACGAAGGGGTGAAAGGAGGGGAAGGGGAAAGGAAAGGAGGGAAAGGAAAAACTATGAGAAAAGAAAAAAATGGAATGGAAATCTGTGTAAATAGGGAAGGGCAGAGGGGGTGAAGGATGCACAGGTAATGGGGAAAAAATAAGAACCAAGATCCATCATGTACAGGTACAAGCACCCAATGAGAAATGTAAACGCATTGTATACCTAAAATGGACCAATAAAAGAACTAAAAAAAAAAATGAAGGCACCTCAGCTGCTGCTTCTGGATCTTCTCTGCTCCCGTCAGGCCCACGGTTTTCCTCTCCTGGCCATTACCTCCATGTCTTTTCATGGCCATCCGCATTCCTCTGATTTAGGCATTTCTTCAAGACCTGGCCTCCGGACTTCTCTCCATGCTCTTGTCCCTTGTCACGCTGCCCCCCTGGGGAGCTTTGTCTCCTTCCCTAGGAGTCCTTTGTTTCGCATCCTGCCTGGCCTCTGGCTCTAACTCCTGAGGGACACCCAGGACTTGTGCTTGAGAACTGAGCTCGCACCTCTCCCCTCCTCCCCTCGGCAGCCTGTCAGCCTTCACCCTCCACGTGCTCCGTGCTGATTCCCTGGGCTCCTGCCCCAGCTCCTCTGCTGCTGTTCTTTAAAGTCCCCATGGCCCCAGATTTGATCTTTGATGCTTTTTTTTTCTTACTACCCATATCTAGTCTGTTGTCAAGTCTTGCATTTTCTCTTCTGGTGAAAGCAGAAATCTAACAAATGTAATTAGAGGTCAGTACCTGACCAGCACTTTAACCTTCTTCCTCATAAGAATTTATGCCAGTGGGAAAAGGCTGATCGGCGGGGACTGAATTACAGTTAGCCAAAAGTAAGACGCTCTGGTGTGCTATTATTGCACAGTAGGGTGACTGTAGGTGTCACTTAGAATGCACATTTCAGGCCCTAGAAGGAATGATTTTGAATGTTTTCACCATAAAGAAATGATAAATGTGTGGGGAGATAAATCTGTTTAACCTGATTTAAACATTATACAATGCATATGCATAAGAACATCACGTGATACCCCATTATTATGTACAAATTTTATGTTACATAATATAACAAAATAAATTAAAATTTTATTTCCATTAAAAATGAATAAAATCTAAAAATACCCAGTTAGTACCAAAGCAGAAGAGTGTATGCCACACAGCGCTTTTGGACATAGTACTGAACCACTCCTTCCTTGTCTTTTTCCTCCAGTTCCCTCAGTCTGATTGGATGGGAATTTAGCTGGATTGTCCGTAAAGGCCCTTCTGGCCCTGAGATTATCTGACTAAAAATACTGTGAAGCAAAGTATTACATTGGCATCAATTCTGACCTGGGGGAGGGAGGGAGAGACCATCATGCAGTAATGAAAACACAGCAGCTGCACAGTCGGTGGTGAAGTGTGGATTGGAGCACACAGCACACCTGGGGAAGTGAGTTCACTCGTGGCTGGGAAATAGCACAGCGGCCAGGGGATGGCAGGGGCATCTGAAGCCTTTGCACCTCTGTGCCTTGTTTATTCCTTCTAGACTCTGTCTTAGGCTCCATTGGCACAGTGGGCCCAGGGAAAATGCTCCCCTGCAGCGGGACAGTCATCTGGCCCACCTTTACCTGCCGCAGGTTATCTCTCTAAGCCACTTCTAATGTGCTCTTGGTAACCTGGTTAATATCTTCAGTGCCTCATTTCTTGCCAACCCTACATAGGTCACTTTAACTACACTGATACTCTATTTCCTGTGTGTGCATCCAGGCAGAATTTTGCATTCACCTAACTTGTTGAAAGCAGCAACCTATGAGCCTCTTAACTTCCCTCCTAGCTCTTTATTTATAAATCTGGGACCAGCAAAGCTTTACAAACCCTCTTATTGCTATCTTCATCATGTCTACTGCTGCTCTTTATGAAAAATATAATAACAAGTCTGTAAACATAAAAAGACTTCTCAAAAATGGAGCTTTTTTCTTTTAATAGTGGAGCCAGACAGCAGACGTTGGCTGGGGACCTAGAGGAAGTGGATGGGTTTGGGGTCACAAAGATGAGCATGTGGGTCACTGAGACCTTCCCAACTTACAGCTGCACCTTGGAATATGCGGTGCTCCCTTTGGCAGCATCCTGGTTCCTGCCAAGCTTGGGAGAGAGAGGCCCAAGCAGCCCCTCTCTTGGCAGGACTTGTTCATGAAACCCAGCTGCTTCCCTAATAGCCAAACCCCATGACTACAGAGGAGGGGTGCGGGCAGACCTGTGTGGTGGACAGAAGGTGCAGGGGTCCCCTCCACTTGAGATCCAGACTATGTCCCGAAGCCCTTTCTAGCTGGATTTTGGATTCTCTCTGCCTGTTCTTTCTTCCGTACAGCTGAATTATTGTGCATGTAGCTGCATTGTGAAACCTTGCTGGTTTTTAGTCATGGTGGGTGTTGTGTTTGCTGAGCTCCTAGGATGCAGTATTGGTGGTGGCAGAGTGTTCACTCAGAAGAAGACTGCCAGGGTTCACATCTGGGCTTTGCCACCTGGCACCCATGTGACTATAAGCAGCTGTTTAACCTCACTAAGCCTCTGTTTCATTTGTCAAGTGGGAATAATGGTAATAATAATACATATCCCATAGGGTTCTTATCAAGACAGATCTGTCTAAGGACTTACGGGCTGGCCCAAGACCTCTGTTAGTGCCTTGGTAAATGGTAGGCATTGATGTTCACATGCCAATAGGACTTACCATGCTCACCACCAGTCCCCTCCCGGTTAGTAGATGACAAATGGAAGCTGATAGAAGTTAAATGACATGAGGAGGATTGTATAGCAAAGGGGAAGAGCAAAGATTGACATCTGGGAGGACTGTTTTGCTTAGTACCAAGTAATCTCCACCATTTCCAAGACTTGGTTTTTCTTTTTTTTTTTTTTTGGTATCGGGGATCGAATTCCAGTCCTTGTGCTTGCGCAGCAGGTGGCAAAACCACTGAGCTAAATCCCCGGCCCAACTTGGTTTTTCTTTTCTTTTTTACCTTTTAAGCCAAACAGCCCTTTTTCTGAGCCTCTCACTGATTGATTCTATGACCTCAAACTGATACTAATTGAGCATCTACTATGTAAGGGCATTGTGGCCAGGATTGAGCACCCAGGCATGGACGTTGGATCAGCCCTTGTGGAGCATGAGCTGTAATGAGAAATGCAAATAGATGTTGAGTCCTACACACTGAAGTCACAGCCAGAATGAGGAGAGCATGTCAGCAGCAGGAGCAGCTTGTGCCGCAAGGCAAAGGAGGACTTCTCTGAGCATCAGAAAGGTGGCCAGTGTGGCTCTGGCAGGGAGGCGAGGGAAGATAAGACGAAAGAGGTAAAGGGAGGATCTCAGACAGTCAAGGCGCTAGAGAGCAGAGCAGTCTCAGAGTTACAGGAACAAGATGTGTATTTTAAAGATCACCTAGCTGCTCCGTGAAGGAGGAGAGATGAAGACCAGAGGATGGGCAGCTAGAAAGGGTGGGAATTGAGGTAATGGTGGATTGAGTCTGGTTGCTGGCAGTAGAGATGGAGAAATGAATGGGTTTTGGGTTAGGGGGAGGCAAACCCAACAGACTGTACTGATTGGTTGGTTGGCTGGATTGAGGCAGTGGTTCGGAATAAAAGATGATCCTCTCCACTTAGGACATGCAGGACTTGAGGCGTCTATATGGCATTCCAAGTGGGTGGTGAGGATTTGGGGCCCTGGGGCTTGGAAGACAGGCCAGGTCCTCTTACTCGGCTGCACACTGGCTGTCCATTCTGGCCCTGGCTGTCCCTGTTTGGAGACTCTGATGTCATGTTTCTCTTTGGCTTTTCAGGACTCCAGCCAGGCAATTCCTCTGGTGGTGGAAAGCTGCATCCGGTTTATCAGCAGACATGGTAAGCGGTGTTCCAGCTTTGTCCATATTTGTGCAAAAATTGGGAAGAGCGTCCAGGATTCTTTGTAGAGTAAGAATAGGGATTGCCTTTCCATCCTGATGTTCTTGGAAAAAGAATGAAATCCTATTTATTCACATAATGTTTGCTACATTACATAGCATGTACATTATGTAGGATGGCCACACGTAGACACTGAAAGAAGGATATTATATGCTTTAACTCAGGATGGCATAGGCACCAGCTTGAGAGTGTGTTTAAAATCTGCTGCTGTATGAGGAGACACAGCTGTGGTATGACGTGGTGGTTTCACCATTACACGTCGCCTTTGCATGTTCAGTATCTCCCAGGGCGTACCCTGACTGTTGTCCCATTGGCTTTGTGGGCCACTTTGGCATGGAAACAACTCTGTGTCTAATGGTGCACTGAGTCCTGAAAATATTCAGGTTTTGTTCTGGTTTGTTCTCTCTGGATACAACATCCCCAAGAACTCGGTTAGTAGCCAGTCCTGAAGTTGCACCCAGCACTTGAGAGTCAGGGAGGGCTGGCTACTCCTCAGTCTTAGCAACTCACCCTCCTGCTTGGGCAGAGATGAGTCTGACAGACTCCGCCCCTTACCAGCTACTGGTTTACTCTGACAGGTCTTGGGGGGAGAGATAATGGCCAGAAAATTGATTTTCCAAAAGGAAAGAGTGATAGAAGGAGCAGCTATCTGAACTAGCACCATCAAGATGTCTAGGAACTGGACCTGAGAAATGGTTTTCTGTTACTGTCCTACCTGGTAATGAGAGAGCAATGGGCCGAGAGAGCAATGGGCCAAGGAGCAATGGAAAGCACTGCTGGTCTACATTCAGAGGCAGCCTTTCTCCCTCCCCTGCCTGACGCTCCTCTCATAAGCTGGGGCATTGCGTGGGTTCGTTTTTGGAACTGCACGTATTTCAGCATTCTTACGACTTAGCCCATTCTCCATCAGCTGGATGTTTTTTTTCCTGGTGCCGGGGGGATTGAACCTGGGCCTCGTGCATTCTAGGAAATCACTCGACCACTGACTTACGTCCCAAGCTATAATCTTTTAATATTATCTCTATTTACTTGAAGTAAGAGCATTATACATCACTATGGGACAATCAGCAAATATTTATCAAGCCCCTGATCAGTGCTGAGCACCATGCATTGCCAAGTAGAAAAATAAAAACAGGAGTAATACACTGTTCTTGTCTTTAAGTGCTTTAATGATGCATTTGGGAGAAAATAAGTAAGTGATAAGTTAAATAAAAAGAGATAAGTGATGGTAACTCAAAATAGCAGAATAAGAAATTTCATAAGATAGTAATGATTAATGGTCAAGTAGCTGGCAAAGATAAATCTAAACTGAGTTCAGAAAAATAAGAAGTATTTGTGCCTAAAGAACAGTTAGAAGATCTGAACTCATTCATTCATCCATGCATTTCATCCATCCATTCATTCACAAAAATATATACTGATTGCTTAGTGTACACCAGTAAAAGTTTCTGTTCTCCTGAACCTAACCTTCTGTAGAAGGAAGACAGATGCTCAGTTGACTAGCCCATAAATAAATTCACGTGCAGCAAGTATTTTGAGTGTTGTTGAGTTTCATGAAGCAGAGCGAGGTGAGGGGATGGAGAATGGAGAGGGAGGGGACACTGTTCCGGATGGGCTCGGGGGAAGACCTCGCCTAAGAAGGCAGCATTTGAGCAGAGTTGTGAGGGTGTGGGCTGTGTGGCTATCCAGGGAGGAGCGGGAACAGAAAGCCCAGAGGCTGCTGCCGTAGGCAAGGAACAGCTCCCAGGAGGCCACCGTGGCAGGAGCCGAGGGAGCGTGACGGGAGAGGAAGCAGCGCCGGCTTTCTTAGCCATTGGCATTTGGCTTTTATTCTAGGCAAGCTGGGAAGCCATGGAGAACTTTGAACAGGGGGACTTGTTAAAGGGTTCTGGCTGCTGCAGGGAGATAAGACTACAAGGTAGAAACAGGAAGCTGCTGCAGTAGGCCAGGTGAAACAAGATAGCGGCTTGGCCCAGGGTGCCAGCCATGGTGTCAGCCGAAAAGTGATGGTTTCAGCTAGCGGAACTTGAGCATACCTGTCTGCTCCCATATAGGCACGGTGTGCGAGGAGATAAAAATTGGCCCATTGCTGTGATGAGACGGGGGAGACAGGCACCCTCCTCATGTACTGCTGATGGGAATGCAGACTGGTACAACCCTGTTGTGAGGGAATTTGGTAATATCAAAACCACATGTGCATTTACGTTCTAATTCAGCAGTCTTCCTAGGAGTTTTACCATGCAGACCCACCTCTAACAATACAAATATGCATATGCACAAGATTATTTGCTGCAGCATTGTTTGTAATTGTAAAATATTGGCACAAACTAAATGCCCCTGCACAGAATAGTGGTTGTAAAAACCATGGCATGTCCATACAATGGAGTACTATACAACTGCGAAAACACAAGGAAGTGCTCTATGAGCCAATGTGGAATGGAAAGTAGGAATGTAGGAATCTCTATTCCTAGGGTATATGGTTAAGCGAAAAAACAAAATGTGAAGAGCAGACAGCAGCTAGTATTTTATTGGTCATCACAAGAGACAGGGCGAAAGGGGGTGGAGAGACTGGAACAGTGGGAAAGAGGAGAGGAGAGGAGTGGCATCTCTCTGAGTACCCCAGTTGGTGTGCTTTGACCTTTAGAACTACATTAGCATTTGCCTGCTCAGATGACAAGTAAATAATACGAGGGTGTGAGTAAAACCCAAAATGGAGTGGAAACAGCACACTGAAGGGAAGCGAGGAAGAAAATGCCTAACCAAATAACTTTGAACACAACATGTTGACTGTATACTGTAAGTCTAAAAACAAAAAGAGCTATAAATAATTATTGTACAGTCGTTAGTCATTTTTATCCCACAGATACGGGCTAGCAATTCTGAAATCACTTGGTGTATATTCTAGCATTAAGCAAATAAATACATTGTTGGTTTTTTAATGTAGGACATACTAGCTGGTCAAAAAAATATTTCTTCAGTGATTTTTTTTCTGCAAGTAGAGACTCATTAAAGTATTCATGAAATCCCTAAAAAACTACTAGAGTTAAAATTTTTGTGTATGTGATGTGTTCCTGGGTCCTAGCAGTTGGGAGGCTGAGGCAGAGGAGGTTGCCAACCTGAGCTTCCTAAAATACATTCACACATGTTGAATAAGCGCATGTACATACCTTTTGTCAGTCTCAAAAGGGTCCATGGCTCACCAAATGCTGGAAAAGTTTTTATCTCTGCTCTCTTCATATCCCCTGGGAGGTAAATGTTACCACCCCTGTTAAGTGGGGACAGCTGAGGCCCCTCTGCAAATGGCAGGTCAGGGTGATCCAGGAAGACTTAGGAGAGGCGATGTCAGGAACTAGTGAAATGAAACCACGATGTAGGAAAACCCACCATTGTCTTGAGGAAAGGAACACAAGGTGGCTGTTGTAGCCATCATCTCAAGAATCATCTCGGAGAGCAGCGATTATAAACAGCTGGTTTTCTCCTCTCCTTTCTGGAAAACAATGTTGCTGCTCTCAGCATCCTCCCGTTTGGTGTGCCAAAGATTGTGTGTGTTGAGTAAGAACTCAGGCTGGTCCTGTGTGCTCCAGGGAGACTGGAGACCAGACCAAAGAGAGCTCCTCGTGTTCCAGGCCAGGGCCCTGATGGCCAGCACGTGCACGTCTCATTTCTCCTTGGCCTGAGCCCACAGCACTGCCAAGGCTGCAGTTCCTGGTGGTCTCACCTGTCCCGAAGCACCACGCTGGCCCTCTCTCGGGACATTGCACAGTGCTTCACCCACCCACTGCCCGTGCTTCCCCTGCACTGTGTTTCTGACAAGTCAGTGGACCTAGGCCTGTTTCTGTCAGACCACTTGCCCTGTACATTCTGTTTAAACAACATTCTTTGGCTCTTTTATCCTGCCGGCTAACTAACCTAGTACTACTACAGTGGTATTGACGGATTTTTGCCATTGCCTGCCATTTTGTGAGGAACACTCGGGAGATTCCCTTAAGAGGAGCAGACAGCTTAAGTGCTGTCACTAACAAGGTAATCACATTCCCTCTGCTTACTTCTTTACATAATTCCAGTCAGATTCAGCAGTTTCAGTCCTGGTCTAGTTGATAGGATCCAGCTGCCCCTCACTGAGAGGGTGACCCTGAACTGGTGGCATTATTCTTTCCTGACACATGGAAGTTCTGGAAGGATTGTGCCATCGCAGAGAGATTTGGACAAAATGCCTGTACTTCGGGCCCAGCACTCCTGAGAAAAGCCGGGCAGCCCAGCCCAGCCCCTGGGCCCGGCACTGAAGGTGCACTTCCCGGATTTCCCACTGGGTGCGCAGTCATGTGTGCGGTGCTGTGTAAGCCGTGTCCAAGTCAGACTGGCAGTGAGTCCCACCCTCCCTGCGTGCGCACCAACCCCCCGCAGGTCTGGTGTTGAGGATGGGTACGTGGTTGCAGCCACAAGGCCTGGCTCTGAGTCCTGCCCAGATTCTTACTACCTGTGTAGCTGAAGGCTGCTCATCTCTCATCAGTCCGCACAGCTAGAAATTGGGTTACTGCTCACCCTGACCCTGCGTGAGGTTATCTATCACTTGCTCTAAGGACCGCATGCTTTCTTTACCTGAGAGCCTGTGACAGCAGCAATCACCACTATACAAGCATTTTTATTTCTACTCTAACAAAACTTAAGACAGTTTTTTGTGCACATTAATATTACAGTGGAACATTCATGCATGTTTGCCCTTAAAGCAGCAGGGAGGGACCAGTGCCTAGGACAGTAGTTGACAATGGTGTGTGCGACTGATCACTTGTATTTTCTTGTCCTCTTTTTTATCCCTGCTGAAACCACTGTCCCTCAAATAGTAGAAGTGTTAAATGAGCGAACCCGATCATTATCACCGCAAACCTTATGAAACTCCTCTAGTGGTACCTAATGTCTCCGCTGCCATGACCCAGCTCCCTTTCTAGACCCTGGGTAATAAGAAAGCACCAGCAGGTCCCTCGATGCAAGTCAGGTGAAATCAGGCAAAGATGGGAAGGTGCCTGCCTCGGTCTCCCTCAGAATCAGGAGAGGAGCTGGTTTAAGTGTCTGACTTGGTTCCTTCTTTAAGGTGATGTTTCATAATCTTCCCAGTGACTTTCCCAACATCCCTACATGTGTTTTCCTCATTGGCCTGAAAAGAGAGAGACCCAGGATACTTCAGTATGCACTGCTGGGGGAGACAGGCACTCAGCCGAGCTTGTACGGTGCTTGTGAGCTTGCTTTTTCTTCTCTGTGATCTCTTTCCTCTGTGTGGTTCCAGGACTACAGCATGAAGGAATTTTCCGGGTGTCTGGATCCCAGGTGGAAGTGAATGACATCAAAAATGCCTTTGAGAGAGGTGAGGGGACCACCAGGAAGATAAGACCGAATGTCTGCCAGCCTCCTGGGGTGTTGGCTCCACCAGAGCTTTGGAAGCCTGCTTCCTCCTCTCCAGCCGGGCAGTTGCTCCCCACACACAGCCCATCAGCCATGCGGGGAGATGCCGGCCACATCCCAGCTTCCTTCCTTCTGGGCCCCACCCTTCCTGCCTCTCTCCTTCGGATGATCTGCCAAAACCAAGAAGTTAACTATGATGTCTAGGCAGTTTATGGCTTCATCCGGAACCCTTGGTGGCAGTTAATATCAAGGCTAATGTGCCTGTTCATTGTAGCCCATTTATTATCGTGTGGACTATTAAGGTAATGGGCAAGCTTTGGCAATTTCCGTCACTGTAATGGAAATATATAGTTTCAATTTGAGGTTAGTCCTGTCATTAAATCTAATTACATCTGATACAAAATTTTCCATGGGGAGCTCCTGTAAGTAGGTGTCCTTTGCTGGGGGCCACATGGCCTCGTTTTCCTCCCCCAGAGACTCAGGCCCAGCCTGCTTTCGAGATTCTTGTGAGAGAGGCAGTTGCTGTGCCCAGGCCCGGGCACGACCTGGAGCCTGCGAAGATTGCTTTATCTGTCCCGGGTCTGTCCCAGCTGTGGCCACCGTGCTGGCAGAGTGATGTACTGGTGGAGGACATGAGTGGGTCCCCCTTCCCCACCGCTTCTACTTTGCCCTGTGTGTTTGTGCCTCTCTTACTTTCTTTCCTTTGCGGGCATTGCTTATCCTCAGGAGAGGACCCCCTGGCGGGGGACCAGAATGACCATGACATGGATTCCATAGCAGGCGTCCTGAAGCTTCACTTCCGGGGTCTGGAACACCCGCTGTTCCCCAAGGACGTCTTCCATGACCTAATGGCGTGTGTCAGTAAGTACCGTCCTGGCTCCAGACTGGTTCCTGCCCACAGCTGCTGGTAGCAAGAGGTCTAAACATTTCCATGGAGCTCTTTGTCTCCTTAGATGCTTTGCACTAAAGTTTTCCTGTTTTACATTTTCCCCAGTGATTCTTTCATTCTCACCCTCACTCTTTCCTCCCTGGTGCTAGAGGTAGGGGCGGGAAGAGTGACTTTTCAGTGAGAATCCAGACCCCGAGTCGGGACTCCTGGCTCTTTTGATTCGTTTCAGTCATAAACTTTGTTCTTGGGAGAAGGCTTTATCTCCCTTTAGTAAAATGCCTTTGTATTCATCCATAAGGCCTAGTCTTTTCAGTTCTGTAAAGCTTACACATCAGGGTTTGGGCTTTTCCTGATACCAGAGTCAAAGCGTAAGTATTACAAATGTTTCCTATTTGTTGTTTTATCCATGGCACAGCTTACCTGCTAGGTGTGTTTATGTGCATCCTAAGAACAAAACCCCACTGCACATTTAAAAGCAGTCACATGATATTTTCTCAGAGAGCTTACGTATTTTCTGTTTTCTTAGGAGTTCCCTGCCTTTTACTCTAAAATTTGGGGCTTGTAAAGCTATTCTTAACCATTTAGTTCAGCTCACGATGCTGAAACATCCTCTCCTTTGTTTCCATGGACAACTGTCTGTGGAAATGTAGAATAAAATCAGGTCTTCTTGAAAGCAGATGTAATTTGAAGGATAGCCCCAGAGGCAGGAGGAGATGAGGCCTTTGAAATGGAGACAGGAGGGGGGCGGGGATTTAGCTCAGTGGTTTCGCCGCTTGCTGTGCAAGCACAAGGACCCGAGTTCAATCCCTGGTACCAAAAAAAAAACAAAACAGAAATGGAGACAGGAGGGCCGAGGATTTAGCTCAGTGGTGACGCCTGCCTCAAAAGCGCAAGGTCCCAAGTTCAATCCCCAATTCCAGAAATAAACAACAACAACAAAAAGAAATGGAGACAGAATCCCTCTGCCCAGGTTGACCAGGGTCCTCATGCTCCCTGGCTTTCCCGTCTGGCTTAGTATTTGCCTTGAGTCCTTGTCCCTTTCAATCACTCTGAGAACAGCCTGGAGCAGTGGTGGCAAACCTATGGCACGCGTGCCACAAGCAGGCTGTTTGTATCATTGAAAGGTTCGCCATCACAAGCCTAGAGCAGTCAAGAAATTGGCTCTCTGGTTTTCTCCGCTGACCCCTTCTCTGTGGGAGTCTACGTGATGGAAGCGAATTATGTGTGTGACTAAGTATGTGCACCCTTAGCTCATGTCTGCCTCCTGGATTGGGCCCAGGCACCATCCCTTAAGCTGGGCTGCAATGGCTGAGAGAGTCTGAGATCCCTGACGTATCCCTTGTTCCTAACCCAGTACTTCCCGTTTCTTTCTCTCATAAAGGCAGTCATAGAAAATAGCAGTCACGTAAATGTCACTTGTACAAAATGGCGGTGTCTGTACCATACACTGCCCATCTGTCCATGGCTGCAGCCGCTGGCACAGGGCTCTGCCTGTAGCTTAAGTGGTTGACACTGTGAGAGTTGGGGTGATTCCACGGGGCCTTTCATCCCCTGCCTCTGACCGCTTCCTGCTCATTCCTCCTGTTGATGAGAGGAGGAGACGAGCCAGACTCGTCCAGAGAGGGGAGGACAAGGATCTGGGCAGGCTGGGTGCTGAACATCATGGTGGGATGGTGGTCAGCTCGTTGTCTGTGCTGGTTTTGAGAAGAGCATGGTAGATGCTGGGGGCTCGGGGCCTCCAACACTTCCTGCGACCAGAAGCACAGCAGTGACAGGTGGTCTCTGGCAGCAGCCCATTCTCAGAAGCAGCCGGGATCACATTCCAGTCACTGGGCTCCCATGCTGTGTAGACTGATCTGCTGCTCTTTGTGCTGTGCATGCTGGTGACAAGGGCTTCCGGCCATTCCTCCAGGCGTCTCGGTCACAGGGTAGGATAACACTGCTTTCTTCTTTCAGCAATGGACAACCTGCAGGAGAGAGCTCTGCACATCCGGAAAGTCCTCCTGGCCCTACCCAAAACCACTCTGATTATCATGAGATACCTCTTTGCCTTCCTCAGTCAGTAAGTAGCCACCCCAGTGAACACATGGATCAGGGCCTGGCTTTGGCTGCTTGGCTCCTCGGCTGTGGATGGCTCTGTTCATTCCCACCAGTGCACATGTACCGAGCGCCTACTGCATGCTGGCCACAGTGCTGGGCTGTAAGGACACGTTGTTCAGGGAGAGATAGCGTTTAGCTCGTGATCCGGGGAAGGAGACAGACAGTAGCAGGCGTATCAGATGGGATAGGTGCTTAGAAGCAAAAGGGATTAAAGAAGGGGATAGAGGCTGGGCTCTGTGGCACATGCCGGCAATCACAGTACTTGGGAGGCTGAGACCAGGAAGATGGGGAGTTTCAGGCCGGCCTGGGTTACACAGCAAGACCCTGTCTCAAAAAAAAAAAATAGATGAGTACAGGATTGGGGCAGAAGTGAGAGGAAGGAGAGCACTTTTGCGGGGTGGTCAGCAAAGGCCTCTCTGAGAAGACAGGGCATGAGCAGCAGCCTAAACGCTGAAAAAGGAGCCACAGGGACAGGCATTGATAAGATGGACAGACGTGCATGTGGGAAGTGTTGGCACATTTCCAAGGGAAGAGTGTAATAACCTGATGTATGGACAGTATTGGTTTGAAAATCTGCCAGCTACTTGGTGTGGGGTCACGGGGAGGAGGGGCCTGTTCTGAATTGTGTGCGGTTGGCCGAGGGGTGGGAAGACAGAAGGGCGGGTAAGCAGGAAGGGTCAGGCTGGGGATGGATTTTAACCCGAGCATTGACAGGACTTGCTCGTGGACTGGATGTGTAGAGTGTGAGGGAAGAGAGAAACCCTGCTTTTTTGGCATGAGGAACAGGGAAATTGTGATGTTTTTATGGAATTAAGGAAGATAGGCGTAAGGAAGGGAATCAAGACAAGGTGCCCGCGTGGGCAGTGCCATTTGAAGGCACCTGTTGGGCACCCCAGTGGCAGTTTTCAGCAGCTGAACAGAGGGGCCTGGCTCTGGGGAAGCCTGGGTGTCGGCTCAAGAACAGTGTCAGTGTATCGGGCGTGTTTAGCTGGTCCCGGGTCTGAGTGTGGGCAGAAGAAAGCTCTGAGGACCAGGGGGCCTTGGGCTTGGCTAAAGCAATTCCTCCTGTGCCAGCAGCATGTTCTAGCCCGGGGCCAGCACGAGGGTCCTCACGTGGCAGTGAAGGCATCAAGCAGGAACACGGGCACCCGGCTTCTCGGGAGCCTCAGTCTTCACTTTGCTTACACTACAGCTTTCCCCCTCAAAACCCTGGGCCTGAGCAGAGCCAGATAAGGCATCCATCCGGTGTGCTGCCTTTTGGCTTGTTGTGTCCGGGAAGCACTAAAACAGCATATAACTTCTCGGGCTTCCGCTAGCTTCTTCTGAAAAGCCCTTAGATCTGGCAATGCTGGACCTGTGTCCAGTGTGGCAGCAACTCCCTGTGGAGTCCCAACTCCACCTCTCCCTGTCCCTCCCCAGGCCCAAGACCGACATCACTTGGCATCATTATCCAGGGCCAGAGATCTTATGCAGGCTTTAATATCATGACGCGTTATATAAAATTGTAAGCATTTATATGTGCACATGTATGAATTTTGGGGGAGAGAGAATACCTAGTTTTGATCAAATTCTGTTTTGTTTCCTTGCTTGTTTGAGACAGACTCACTCTGTTTCTCAGCTGGCCCCAAACTCCTACAGGCAAGCAGTCCTCCTGCCTCAGCCTCCCAAGTAGCTGGAACTACAGGCATGAGCCACTGTGCCTGTTCTATTGCCAAATTCCTAACCCTTGTGCCCCTCAGATGCAGTAAAGAGCCACTGGTTAGCACCTAAACTGAGGTATTCCCCTGTGAATTGGAGGAGAAAAAGGATTGTGGTCTTTTTATCTTTCCTTGGTACACTGGGAATCAAACCCCAGGGCCTTGCAAATTTGGCCTACTTTTTAATGGAAGTCAAAAAATGGACCCAATTCACGAGACCACAGCCCTGGAAACTAAGTCCTCCTCAGGCCCCTGGTCATTGCCACCACCTGTAAGTTGAACAGTTCTTTCCTTTGTAAGCTTCACATCGTTCCTCCTCTGCCATAGCGCTTTACTTGGCACACTGAGGGCTAGAGTTTGTCCCTTTTGACCATCAGGCTTCCCAGAAACTACTGGTGTTCTTTCCTGCTACCAAAACACTATCAGATCACACCTAAGAAACCAGCCCTTGCTGAAGCCTCCTGTCTCCATGACGCCAGGGCCTGGCCAGCCTGGGATCCTCCCCATTAGCCTTGGCTGTCTTATCTCTCGGTTGTTCCTGCTGAGGTTACCAGGGTCATTTCCACTCCTCTTTATCCAGTGTCCCAGGAAGACTTAGAAGCTTCCCCAGTCTTTTCTAAACCTCTGCTTCTTTCAATTTAGGATCCAGAGAAGGTTGTAAAATTAAATCTTTAAGAAGCCTGTGAAGCAGTCCAGCCACTGGATTTCTAACCTCCCTGTTGCTCCCATATTTGATTCTAGGTCCTGGAGAACAGCCATTCTCAGCTCTTCCTCCCTGTGACCATTGGTCATGTCCATCGAGCCACTTTTCATGTCCTGCAGTGACTCTCAAGGGGGCCTGAGGGGCATCTCAGAACCTCCAGGAGAGGAGAGAATGGTTGGGTTAGAGGGAACCCCGCTCTGTAACAGGAGTCTGGATGTGAGTTTTATTTACCTAGGAATAAAACTGCATAATTCAGAAGAGCAGCTGCGGAGGGCTGGATCACAGGGCTCTGGATCTGTCAGAACCGGAGCCAGGCAGTGCCTGCTGGTGTCTGTGGCAGGCCACACATCTGCAGAGCTCACGGTTCTGTGGGCTGTGTGGGGATTTGTCCGGAGCTGGCCTAGCACTCCAGACCTGGACAGGCAGGAGCAGTGGGGACTTGCCAGGCACCGTGGCCCATCGAAGGCCTGGGATCTCTGGCCAGGGTCTTGCTGAGCAGGGGGAGGTCCCAGAACAAATAAATACCCAGGATAAAGTTAGCCTCCATCCCAAGGAAGCGCGAGTGGAGCCTGAACAGCACACTAACCCTTTCCTAAATAAATCCTGAATGTATTAATAGAAAGGATATTATGAAAGTGAAAAACAATTGCATTAAGCATTTGAGAAATTCACTGTCTTGGTGGAATACAAAAGCTATCGGTTGGCTGTTTTCTTATTAAGTGTAGAGGCAGGAATGGGATATCCCTAATAATGTGATTGTTTTGCTCTATAAGAAGGCACACTCTGCACAGTGCCCATTACCAGGGCAAGCCGAGGCTCCCTGTCTGCGCTGCTGGCTTGGGGGGGTTGGGCTGTGGATCCACGCTGAGCTTGGTAGAGCGACGTGTTCTCAAGGGAAAGTGAGTGGCGGATAAGCTCCAGGTTGGGCGTGAGGAGGGGGTGGAAGGCACATTGGCATGGGAACTGGAGAGAAGCGAAGGTCAGACTAATACGCAGGTACCTCCCTCTACCTCTCCCTGGCTCCCGAATGACCATCCGGCGGTCACTCCTGTGTCCCCAGGTGACTTCCTGATGCCCGCAAAGCCAGGTGGCAATCTGTGGGCCTTGTGCCTTTGCCCTTGGCAGGGCCACCTGTGACTGTGTCTCCTGGGCATTCATGCGCCAGCTTTCCAGCTTGGCCCCTTTGCCTTCTCCAGTTTGTCACAGTTCAGTGAAGAGAACATGATGGATCCCTACAACCTCGCCATCTGCTTCGGGCCCTCGCTGATGTCAGTGCCGGAGGGCCATGACCAGGTGTCTTGCCAAGCCCATGTGAACGAGCTGATCAAAACCATCATCATCCAGCACGAGAACATCTTCCCCAACCCCAGGGAGCTGGAGGGCCCCATCTACAGCAGAGGAGGAAGCATGGAGGATTACTGGTAGGGGCTCGGGCTGGAGGTGGGAGCGGTCACCAGTGCACACTGGCGTGGGGGACAGATGGCCAAGGGAACAACGCTAAAGGGAAACACAGCGTCCTCCAGCCTGCACTCCAGGCCTGGGCTGCTACGACAGACCCTGGCCTCAGTCTACCTATGGAGCCAGTACCGCTCGAGCCACCTCCCTTCCTTATGAGTTCTGGGTGGTGAGGTGCCGTTCCAAAAGGCAGGGACCACATTAATAGCGGTACTAATACCTCAGGAAAGGAGATTTTGCAAAGCTGTGTGTAAAACTGCTGTTTGCTGGTCAACAGCATCCCCATAGCCTCTACTCTGTGCTGTGGATTTTAAGAAAGGCAGGCCGGGGTCCCAGGGAGCCCCATGCTTCCTGGGAAGAGTTTAGACAATGAGGCATCATTTCCTGGCTGTGAGTTTACAGGAGAACACATTGGAACGGTTTGAGAAATGTGTGAGGAGGAAGCGGGCTCAGCTCCATTGGGGCAGGCTCGGCTTGGTGGCACGCCGAGCAGAATCACAGTCCTTGGGGCAAGGGTTTCATGACGGGGTTGAGAACAGAGCCAAAAGGAATCCCTAGGGAGCAGCTGTGCTGGACCCCTGTACTGGACAGACAATCCACTCATTTCCCAACAGACAGAGCCCTGTGGCCACATGGTTACAGGGAAGCCTCTGCAGCCCCTCGAGGCCATCTCGGCGGAGGGAGCTCAACCCCATCTCATCCTGTAGTGCACGGACCCGTCCGTTACCCATGCAGCCTGCCATGATACGACTCAGTGTCATTTTTCTGAGTCTCTTGCAGTCTGTGATGCCCCTTACCTCCCTCCGCCCTTCCCTTCTTCCCCAAGCAGTATTTCAGCCTGGGCTGAAAACAGAAGCCAGCCCAAATCGGATGCTCTCTGAGGTCAACATCGAACCAATTCAGCCAGCCCCATTGCTATCCACTGAGGTAGGGGAGGCCAGAGGGGCCGCTTTCTCCTTGACCCCCAAGCACAGACTCTTGCCAAGGAGTGAAGGAAGTGACCTTCGTACCTCTGAGCATCCCAGTAGCACTGACATTCCGAGTTCACTCCTCTGCCACACTGCAGAGCCCAGGTCAGGTCCAGACTGGAAGAACCTCAGCTGGCTGCCCAGGAGAGAAAGTTCTGCCACTGACACGTGGCCACCGGGCAGTGGCTGGGGAGGTGCTCAGCTCCAGCCTCAGCCCGCTGGCTGCTGGGCTCCCGGGAGCAGACCTTGTGCACGTGACACGAAACTGGTTTTCCCCTCTCAAGAGGAGTGACAGTGTGGAATCCTACTTCCGAAGTCAGGCAGCATGCCTGCCCTAGCGCTCAGCGGGCAAACCACAGGTTCAGGACTGCTCAGAGCACAGAGTTGCTTCTCCCCAGCCCTGTTTGGGGAGCCTTCGTCCATTCTTCTCCTTAGACCCCTGTTTGCCATGCATTTGACATTTATTACACCACAGGGCCAGACAGGGAACGTTACTACCACAGTCTCAGGCTAGGTGGGAGGCCCTGGGCCGCGGGCCAGAGGTGCCGGTGAGCAGCGTTCTGTGATCTGAATTGAGACCCACTCTGAAGCTCCCCACCCGAGAAGTGCCGGCGAAGTGAGCTAAGACAGTGGAGGAGGGAGCCCCAAACTCTGGAGGATGGCCAGGAGACAGAACCCCCCCTGGCCACTGGTCCTCCCTCAGCTGTAGGCAACCCATTTCCCGACTTGCCAGTCCTGAGACAGGAGCTCAGTGGGTGTTCTAGGACAGCCTGCGGGCACGTGGCAGCTCCGGGTCCTCAGGTGCTGTGGGCCTGGGGGGTGTTAGGGGGTTGGGGTATGGCATGAAAGAAGCATAGGGTTTCCAGGCCAGAAGGGACCTTCCAAAGCATCTTGCCATGGTACAGAGGTTTTAGCCGCACCTGACCAGCGGCACCCAGGTCATGTCAGGCGGGTTAGAGACACAGGTTCCCCAGTCCAGCCCCAGCCGGACCAGCTGCTCAGAAACTCAGGGGTGGGGCCATGGGTTTACAGCCCTCCAGGGCTCCCTGCAGTCAGAGCTGTCCCTTAGTAGACGTCCCAGGAAAAGGTTTGCCTTTAACCTGTGCGCCCTGAGAGCCCCGTGAGTTTCCAGAATGCCACCAAACTTAGCAGAGGGACTTTCAGCCCAGAAAACATGAGGGATTATGCCCACGTGTTTTGACAAAGAGGAATCCCTGTTGGTGCTCTGAGGATGTTCTGTGGAGTCAGAGAAACCCCCTTGGGCCTTGGTCACCTAGTCTTTCAGGAGCTCCTAGGGCTGCAGGACCAGTGCCCGGGGAGGGAGGGCCGGCAGGGCTGGTAGGCACTGTCTGGGAAGGCCGGAAACCTCAGACGTGAACGGGGATTTCCTCTGCTTTTCAAGAATTGAGTACTGTCATCTACTCTGAGGTCCCTGGCCATTCTCTCTACCCTGGATGATTTTTTAAAAGATGAATTTTTGTTTTGTTTTTTGGTTGGTGATTGTTTCTTCTCCTCCTCCTCCTTCTCTTTGGTCCCCTACTCCCTTCCTTCCTTCTTTCTTCCTTCTTCCATGTTCTTCTTTCCTTCTTCCTTTTCCTCCTCTTCCTCTTTCTCCTTCTTGTCTTCTTCCTCCTCTTGTTCTCCCTCCTCTTTTTCCTCTTCCTCTTCCCCCTTCCTCCTCTTCTTCTTCCTTCTTTTTCCTCTTCTTCCTCTTCCCCTTCCTCTTCCCCCTCTTCCTCTTTCCCTTCCCCTTCCACCTCCTCCTCTTCCCCCAACCCCCTCCGTGCTTGCTGGGCAGATGCTGCGCCACTGAGCTACATCCCCAGAAAGATGAGCTTTTTAAAGAACTCGGCCAGGCTTCCGTCCTTGCCCTCCTGCAGAATCTAACGTGCAGCAAATTCCTCTGCCGGCCACTTCTTGACTCACTTCCCTCCTTCTCACCAGTACACAGGCTGAAGCATCAAGCAGCATAGGGTACTGAACAAAGCGAGAAGGAAGGGACGGGGCATAGCTAAGGGGGTGGAGCACCTGCCTACTGTGACCAAGGCCCTGGGTTCAATCTGAGCACTGCAGAAGATTAATTTAAAAAGAAAGGAAGGCAGAAGAAGGAAAGAAGTGCCACTTAGGCAGCTGGGGATTTAGCTCAGTGGTTTCGCCTCCTGCTGCACAAGCGCAAAGGACCCGAGTTCTATTCCCAGTACCAAAAAAAAAGATAGGCATTAAAAAGTGATAGAAAATTTGGGGGGATTTGGCTCAGTGGTTTCGCCACCTGCTGTGCAAGCGCAAGGACCGGAGTTCGATCCCTGGTTACCAAAAAAAAAAAAGCTGTAAAATGGGCCGGGGATTTAGCTCAGTGGTTTCCCCGCCTGCTGCGCAAGCACAAGGACCCAAGTTTGATCCCCAGTACCAAAAAAAAAAAAAAAGGTTCAAAAGAAGTGCCACTTAGGGAGCACTCCAGATGCCTTGCTAAGCGGTACCAGTAACTCCCACCAATGCTAGGAGGTGGGCAGACCGCTGTTCTTGTGTATGGCCGGTACCTAGTGGTGCGGAGAGATTGCAGCGTGCTTCTCTGGGCTCGCCTAACGGTACCGACGCAGTTGCCCCTGACAGAGCGGCTCATTGCTTCTTCCCTGCAGCACTCCCTCTTTGGGAATCAGCCGTGAGCTCACCTGGAGTTAGCCCGGGAGTTGTTGCCCTGTCCTGTGTTTTCTGAAGGGTTTCCCTTTGGAGGTAGTCTAAGTCCCAAATAGTCTCCAGCAGTTTTCTGGCAGGAGCTGGAGTGGGGAACTGTGGAGTGTTTTCTCCACTCTTCCTGAGTGTTTTCTGTGTGTAAGCCAGGATAGGAGCACAGGATTGATTTCATGCTCTTGCTCGCGAGAGGCAGTCTGAAGGGGAGAGCAAATGTTTGCAAGCGGTGCCTGATGCCTGGGTCACTCTCACTTCTGTCACAGTGATAGCCCACATGGAGAGACTACCTCAGCTGAAGACTCCACGCAGGATGTGACCACAGAACACCACACAAGCGATGACGGTATGAAGCCTGCTTCCTGCTCACCGGGGCTGCCAGTGCTCTCGGTCAGGCTGCACGTCCCGTTCACCTGACGAGCTTCTGCCTGGCCGTCCCCTGGGGACTGTCCCTTGCCCTTCCTCTCTCCCTTTCCCGGAGGGGCGTCCGCCACTAGAACAGGCGTTATGCTAAGCCAGAGGTGAAGACCCAGACCTTCACGGCCAGCCAGGGTCCCTTAGCACACCCCACACTCCTCCCAGGTAGGTGGGGGGGGCGCTAAGGGAGAGAGATGCTTTGGAACCCGCACGCCGGGGCGAGTGGGAGGAGGGTGCAGAAGCCACTCACCTGCACGCCTGCCGCTTGGAAAACAGCCTTTCTACCCTCAGGCGTGCGAGCGCAGAGCAGTCTGCTGAGTGTGCGCCCAGGGCCCGACGCTCAGCTGCCACCCTGGGCCTCTGCAGTGCCCGTGATTGACTAGGATCTGTCTGGCCACACACTTCCCCTGCGTCCAGCAGCTCCTCACCTCCATTTCTGGATCACTTGGGCTTGGGAAGGCTCAGTAGCTGACAAGGGGCTTCAGAATTTGCTAGGCAGAAGAATAAAATGGCACAGTTTTCAGAGTTTTGCTGCCCCCTCCCTTGCTTCAAATGAATTCTGCTCTCCTGTGCCAGCTTTTAAAGGGGGAAAACATGAGGATTGCTTCTCTAGATCCTGATGGGAGGAGGGTCAGTCTGATCGTCTGCCACATCTGAGGGGGATAGGCAAACTAGGGAATTTCTGGATGGATCAGAGCTGCCTCAGCACTGTTAGAGGCTTTGTGCATTTTATCTGCTGATCTCTACGGAAATAGGGCACTGTTTTACAGTTGAGAAAATGGGGGTCAGAGAGGTCAAGTGGCAGACAGGCTGTAGAGAACACATCCACATCGGGAGACTTAGATTCTCTTAGGTTCTTGGATTAGGAGACCTTCTCTGGTCAGCCTCCTGCAGTGAAATCTCTGGCCCTGCCTGTTCAGCAGCAGACTTGGGGCTGACTGGGCATGGCGTTTCTGTTTGTTTATTGGGTTTTCATTTGTTTTGCTGTACTAGGGATTGAGTTCAGAGCCTTCACACTGAGTTACATCCCCAACCCTCTTTACTCTGTATTTTTAAATTTTGAAACAAGATCTTGCTAAGGCTGGGCTCGAACTTGTGATCCTCCTGCGTCTGCCTCCGGAGTGCTGGGATCACAGGTGTGCGCTGCCACACCTGGCTCTGGTCTTGTTTTTAGGCAGTTGTCTCCTCTACTTCCCAACAGATCTGACTTTCAGGGTCTAGCTTTCTGGGAGCCTTCTCTTTAGAGCAGCCTAGAACAGATAAGGACAGTGACAGCAGCGACCAGTGCACACACCTCACAGCACTGTTCCCCAGCTTTCACAAGTGGGGGTTCATTGGCTCCTCCTACAGTTTCACAGGAAGGGCACTTTATTATCCCCATTCCATGGACGAGACAGAAGCCTACACAAAAGTAAAAGTACACTGCATTTGTAAACACCTTTTAGTTTTTCAAATTATTTTCATGTGCATTTTTCCACAGTTGACCAGGCCAGTTATTTTCTTTTAATAGAGATGAAGAAGTCATGTTCTACTGAAGGGAATGGATAACATAAATAAATGACTTAAAATACAGTATGATAAATTTTGTGCAATTAATGGAGTTTCTAGATAATCAGAAAAGAAGTAATGCTTAAAATAGAGTATAGCAGGTTCGATGATAGGGAGATCAGCATAATGAGCTGTATGAAAACGGAGGAGTTGCCAGAGACGGCAGGATCTTGATGCGTCTCGCGAGGCAGAGAGAAAGGGACTCGAGGTCAGGGGACAGTGGAGCGAGGCAGGGAGGGACAGCAGCTTGTTCAGGGTGACGGCCAGGCCGGACGGGGATGGCCACCCTCCCTGCTTAGATTTCACGCCGCTCACCCCGCCAAGTCCGGCTGGGGGCCGTTCCGCCCAGGCTCCTGCACCTGTGGGTGCTGACCGCACTTGTCCTCCTCCTCCGTCCTTGCCAGAGTGCGACCCCATCGAGGCCATTGCCAGGTTTGACTACGTGGGCCGGACAGCCCGGGAGCTGTCCTTCAGGAAGGGGGCGTCGCTGCTGCTTTACCAGCGGGCGTCCGACGACTGGTGGGAAGGCCGGCACAACGGGATCGATGGGCTCATCCCCCATCAGTACATCGTGGTCCAAGACACGTACGTAGGGCCCTGCACCTCTAGGGGTGGCCCCTGGCTCCACTGGGGGAGTGCAGTTCACTTGGGAGCTGTAGGAAGGCGAGGGGACTGAAGGGGTCTGAGGCTCACAGTTCCCCGAAGGGAGTCCCCCCAGCTCTGTGCAGAATGTTTTTTCATTTTTCCACTGTGATCCCCCTTTGAGTCCCTCTGCCATCCATTTGTTTTTGTTTTTAGTTTTTGGCTTTTTGAGACAGGGTATCATGTAGTTCAGACTGGCCTTGAGCTCACTATGGAGCTCATTATGGAGTTCAGGCTGGCCTTGAACTTGCAGTGGTCCTCCTGCCTCAGGCTCCTGAGTGCTGAGATTATTTACCACCACGCCCGGCCAGCCATTCGTTTCAGAGACCTGTCAGCCAGTGCTCACCAACATGTACACCTGATGAGCCATAATGTGGCCTTTACCTCCCCTCATACATTTCCTTTCCAGAAAGAGCAGGTAGGGGAGACATTTTTGTCTCTCTGTCCTTTTTTCTTTTTTGTTTTTAAAACAGCCGTGTACACCCCACCTAGCTGGGATGCTGTGGCTCTTTCCACCTCCATGGGAACACGAGGAGTCACTCTCTGGGAGGAGTTCGGCTCAAGCACCCCTGTGGAAGTGACCCAAGTTCACTTAGCCCAGATGAGGCCAATTTGGGGCGAGATGGGGAGAGGAAGGAGAAGAATGTCTGGGGACAAAGGGAGCCTGGACTGGTCCCCAAGACTGCACTACGTGGGCTGTCAGTCGCTCCCTGCCTTCGAAGCACGGTCTGGGGGCCGGCAGTGTCCCCTGTGGCCCGCCGCCCCGGTCTTTGTCCCCGCTCACTTCCCTTGCATGCAGCACTGCACTGTTCTCAGTCCTGCCCTCGGTATCACTGTTGAAGGTTGCTGTCCTGAGTGAGTCTGCACCCTCCCAGCCTCTCCACAGCTGCAGCTGTGCAGGGAGCCCTCCCTGAGTCAATACCTTTGCAAAGCGGTGGCGGTCTGTGCACGGACAGGACCCTCCCATCCCTGTCTTAGCATTATGACTTCACTGCGGGACCAAGAGAAGCGAATGATAGGGGAGAGGGGCCAGGAGAGCAGTGGAGAGACTGGGCCCAGCTTGGACGCCCTAAGCGAGGCTGAATGTGCTAGGATGGAGTGTGGCCGTGTGCCCTGTCCTGCCTCAACGCCGGCATCTCCAGAGCCACGCAGAGCGGACTGTCCTTACCCAAGGTGCTCAGGACCTCAGCGCTGACATAAGCCACACGCTGGACTTCCTTCTGCCTCCTCCTCTAGGAGGTGGCCCGGCCCTGCCACCCCTGGAAAGCAGTGTGGGCTAGAGGGCAGGTGCCTGCAATCCAGGGTCCCCTAACCAAGCTGCCCTGAGGAGCTGAGGATCCCGCGGAACTCAGCCAATTATTTATTTTTATTTAATGTTTCTCCAAGGCCCCTAGGTCCCTTGTCTGTGCTGCAGAGCCAGCCCCACCAGGTGTCACCTGCCGCCTCAGAGCGGTGCAGCTCGTGTGTGTTTGTGTGTGTGTGGGGGGGGAGCATCTTGCTGATTTAACGCTGCTTTTTGTGTTGTTCTCCCTCCCTGCCTGCCTGCCCCTTCTCCCCCAGCGAGGACGGTGTCGTGGAGAGGTCCAGCCCCAAGTCCGAGATTGAGGTCCTTTCTGAGCCACCTGAAGAAAAGGTGACACCCAGAGTGGGGGCCAGCTGTCCCGGTGGGGGTCACGTAGCCGATATTTATCTTGCAAACATCAACAAGTAAGCGCTGCTTTTCATTCTCTGCTCCCCTGAACAAGTCGACTCCCACCACCCAGCCTCCCCCGGCCTAACCCTAGTCGTGCACTGCTCATGGGCCTAACAGCCTGCATGCCCTCATCGCCGCTGCCCGGAGGCCCGGGAGGCCCAGGGCCCTGCTGCCTGTGTCGGGCTGCGGCCGTGCGTCCTCCTGTGCGCCCGTCCCGCGGTGTCTGTCAGCACAGCCTTCTGGCGGTCTCACGGCTAAGACTTGGCCAAAACGTCGGTCACTTTATGCAAGTCAGTCTTGTGCTGTTGCCTAGAGGTGCCTTCTCTTTCCAATTCCTGCTCAGACAGTAATGCTGGCTGTCTTCCTCAGCCCTTGTCTGGTCCAAGATTCAGAGTCTTGTGTGTTTCCCACCAGGCTCAGCCGTGCCAGGCGGGCTTATTAGATGTCATGTGTCTGTTGTCTCTCCCCTTGTCCTGCATCCACTGCTGCAGAGAAGAGGAGAGCACTGTGCCCCAGGACAGCTTTGTCCTGAGCTCTTTATTCCGTGTGTGACCTCCGGTGCTCATTTCTTCTGCCCTTGCTCACCTGGGAGAAACCATTTCCACCTTTTCCCTGTTGCTTAAGCCCCGTGTCTGACGCTCCCGAGCAGCCCCCGTACAGAGTGCCGCTCCTGTCCAGCAGGCCCCTGCCTTTGCCCCACAGCTCTCACTGGGGCCGTTAGCAACATCCAGGGTTTAACTCCACCCACACCCCAGCCAGCTGTGTGGAGGGATCCGCGCCGCCCGAGTGCTGCTGCCTACCCGAGGGGCACTCAGGTTATTGGAGAACTAATCTCATCTCAAGGGGCCAGACACCAAGTCCCAAAGTCTACAGACCTCTTTCCGCCAGACCCTGAGACTTGGCCCAGGGCCAGCAGGATGACAAGCCCCAGGGCGCTCCTGACGAGTTTGGATTGGAGAGGACACACAGTGTTTATTCCCTCTGGCCTTGGAGGAATGAAATGATTTTGCACTTTGAAAACCTGTTAACCGTAGCCTCTGGACACGGAGACTGGAAGGAGAATAAAAGATGCTTGTTGTTTTTAAACCACACCAGGTTGCCAGATCTCTTGGCTTCTTTCCAACCAGGCGGTAGCAGGGGCGTGGTTGGGACACGTGGCTCGTTTCCATCTCTTTCACCCTCAAGTTCATCAAGTAGCTTATTCAGCTCACTCACTCAGTACAGCTGTGATTCAATTCAGACCAGTAAAGAACTGAGGACGTTATACTTCCCCCAGCACACTGCCCTGCTGGGAAGACAAACTGGTAAACAGCAACGATGCGCTAATCACTTTTTTCCTCCTTATTTACGAGTCTATGTTAATTATAAGCCTATAGTCACAAGCTTGTAAGCCAATTATTAAGCCGAAAACCAAGACAGGGTTGGTGGAGAGAGAGTTAGATGTTCAGTTTTGTACAGGCTTTTTGTTTGAGCTGGAGATGGAGCCCAGGGCCCAACACGTGCCAGGCAAGTGCTCTACCGCTGAGCTACATCCCCAGTCCTCGGTACGTGTTACTAAGTCATCCCATACTCAGTGCCATTTGCACAAAAGAATTACAGAGACTGGCAGCCAAGCAGTCAAAAGATGAACATCCGGGAGAAAGTCAGTGTCTCCCTTGGACTCCTTGCATGGTGAGGGAACCCTCATGGTGAGGCCCTTGGAGGACAGGCCTCTGCACCCACGGCCTGCCCAGACACCGCCCGGTCAGGGAGGGAAGGCGGCCCTCCAAGTAAGCCTGCCTTTCAGCCTCCCCTCGTCCCTCCCAAGCAAGCTCCTTCTGTTCTAGGAGGGCCTGGCTCTCTCCCTCTAGGCCTTCACTTCTGCCAGCTCCTCCCTTACCTGGTCAGTTCCTCTCCTCCCTTCAGGACTCAGTCCAAAGATTTCCCGCTCTGGGGAGGCCTTTGGGACATCACTGAGTCCCGGGCTGAGTCAGGTGCCCTCCCCTGTGTCCGCAGGCAGCCCAAGCCGTTCCTGGTACTCACACTGCGCCAGATCCCCCACCAGGCTGAGCTCCTAGGGATGGGGAACTTTGTCTTCCTCATCATTATGTCCCCAGGCCTGGCCTGGGGCCTGGCTGGCTGCAGCTACTCCAAGAACGTGCCTTCTCAGCAGTTTAGATCTGTGAGTCAGCCAACCTCAAAGGCAAGAAGGAAATCAAGGCGTCACCAGGGCGTGGCCCTTCAGAGTAGTCCCACACATTTATTAAGCATCTGCTCTATGCCGACCACCAGCGCTGGTTCTTCAAAGCCAAGTAAGACACGGCCCCAGCTCTCAGAGCTCAGTCCAGCAAGGTAAAGACTGCATGGAGAGGTAGCTACAAAGCAGTGCCATGGGTGCCGGAAGGAGCAGGGGAAGGAGGGCTGCATTCTGTCTGCAGTTGCAGTGAGCGGTGTCATGGAAGATTTGCAGAGCAGGAAGATTTGCAGAGCAGGGCTCGCCTCAGGAGACCCTGGGAGACGACACCCTTGTCCCTGCGGGAGGATGGCTGGTTCCCCTCCCAGGGCTAAAACTGCTGACGGGACATTCATGGGGCAGCTGCTCTGGGTCTGTAAAGATGAGGAAGACGTCAGCAGTGAACAGGACCTCACAGGCGGCCCCAGTGCCAAGTCCCACCTCCCTCCTTCCCCCCACTCCCACCGCTGCCCAGCCCCCATAGATGCAGTCGGAGCGGCCAGGCTGCCATCAGAACGAGCAGCTCTGTGCCTTCTTAGATTCGGTCCTTTAAAATCCGACTCCAAGAGAAATGGAATTACTCCACAGCAGCAGGCAACACCCATAGAACGAGGGTTCTGCCAAGCCACTGCATTTGAGAGCGCTAGGTGGTGTGAAATAAACCGGCTGAGAGCCAGGGCTCAGCCCAGCGCTGGGTGGCCCCGGACCCATGCGGTTGTCCTTCCACCTGAGCAGATCTTCCGTTCTATGTCTGTAGAATAAGCCAGAGCCCACAGTGACTCCGAGGCACTAGCTAGACCAAGAGACAAGCTAAAACGGGCCACTAGTGCGCCTCTTGCCAGCACCTCCCTCCCTCCCTCAGCGGTGACGGTGAGACTTCCTGCTGGGACCTCGGTTTCTGCTCAAAGCGCGGGGTCTTCCCATGAATCCCTCTCAGTAGAAGCTTTCCCTTACTCAGACACTTTTTCTGACAGCAGCTTTTATGTTGGGAGCTCCGTGCCCAGGATGCACAAGTAAGTATCCTTTTCTCCCTTGCCCCGGCTGGGGGTGGCAGGAGAAGAGGCACAGGGAAGGAACAAGCCAAGAGGACACCAAGGACCGAAGCTGCTCCTTGTGCCTCCCCTGCCACAAGTCCCCAGGTGTCACGTCTGCGCCTCTCCCCATCCTGGCCCCCTGGAGCTGGGCTCCCCGATCACCCTGCCCTTTCTATTTGTGATTGAAGGCAAAGGAAGCGTCCAGAACCTGGGAGCATCCGGAAAACCTTTCGAAGCGACAGCCATGGGCTGAGCAGTTCCCTGACTGACTCCTCCCCGGGGGTGGGGGCCAGCTGCCGCCCGTCCTCCCAGCCCGTCCTGAGCCAGAGTCTCCCCAAGGAAGGGCCAGATAAGTGCCCCATCAGCGGGCATGGGAGCCTCAACTCCATCAGCCGCCACTCCTCCCTGAAGAACCGGCTGGACAGTCCGCAGATCCGGAAGGCTGCCACAGCGGGCAGGTCCCGGAGCTTCAATAACCACCGGCCCACGGACCCTGAGGTCGTTGCACAGGTAACCGAGGGCCCTGGGCCGGCCACTGGCGGGGGTTACACTCGCCGCTGCTGCTCAGCGCAGCCCCTGCTGGGTGACACGACTTGGGGTGGCGCAGCGCTGCCCCGGAACTGGGTGTCACGCCAGCCTGCGAGGGCCGCGTGCCCGCCACCGCCTGTCCCCCACATGACCCTGAAGGTAGACTGAGAGGCTTCCCGCCTCCTACTCAGATACAGCGGTGCCTCCGTTCGCGAGCTTGACTTTCCACCACGCTGGTCACAGGTGAATTGGGCGAGAACCAAATCAAATTCAATGGTTAGGTTCAGTGTTGACCTCGTAGGAAAATTTGATTCGATTCTTGTCCAACTCCATTTACAACCAGGATTGTGGACCGAATGAAGTTCGTGAACTAAGGTGCCAATGCTCTGGCTCCTTGCAAAGCTGCTGATATTTAATGCTGGTAGTTAAGAGTATTTGGGTAGAGTCCATTCGGCCCAAGTTTTGGGTCTTAAAGCCCAGGTAGATTTTGTGAAGCCATTTGAGTGCTGAGACTCTGATACAGTTGGAACCGCATCTGTAGATGGCTCTGTCCATCTCAGTCATTCCATTTCCCGAAGCTGATCCGTCGTGGGCAGATGCCCAATCCACAATATGCTTCTGGTCTTGAAGACCTCAAAATACTCTGGCTGCGGGGAGCTTGAGAACTAAAAGCATTTCCAGCCCAAGGCTCCGGTAGAGATGAGCCCCCTACTAGAGCGTCTCCTTCATGCCTGCACCACACTGATGCCTCTCTGTTCTCCCTGAAATATCAGAGATCCGTCCCCACCTCTAAAAGTCCGACTACCGGGGCCACTCCAAGCAGTGCTCTCAGACGTCTCTCCCAGCTATATAATTTTCATTAGACCAGGTAGGAACTAAAGGCTCTCTGTGGCCCTCTGAAGTCTCAACCCAGCTGAGACTCTCTTCGCTCCATCTTCCGGGGGCCATAGAGGCTGGGTGTGGCCTCTGCTGGCTCCCCTGGGCTCTGCTTAGAGAGGTGGGCCTGGCAGGCCGGTGTCGAGCTGCGGGCCTGAGATGTCTTGCTTTGCTAGCCTTCTATCCTGTGCCTCTGTTTAAGCTTCTGATGGCAGTTGGCCTTGCACCGTGGGAATCCTCCCTGGTCCTTCCTTGGTCAGGCATTGCTGGGAGTGAAAAGGTACATGGGTGGACAGAATCCAGCTGCAGAGCTGCACTGTGAGGGAGATGGAGTTCTTTCTGAGCATCTTAAAGGTTTCAGAGGGCTGGGGAGGTAGCTCAGTGATGGAATGAATACCTGGCTAACATATGTGAGGCCCTGGGTGTAATCCCCAGTGTCACAGGCACATACGAGCACATACATGCACACACACACATTTTAAGAATGTCATAGGTATGAGTGAAAGTGGAATTATTGTCAGAAGAAAGCATGGGTCACTCTGTAGGACAAAGAAACCATAATGGGCCCTTTGCCTAGAACATGCAAGCTTTCAATGTGAGCTTAATCCCAAGAAGGAGTCCTCTGGTGGTTTGGGGACCCCTGACAAGTTTATTTGGACAGCACGGCAGCTGGGAGGTCTCCCCAGGAAGCAGCTGGCTTGCCTGCCAGGGTTCTTTGGTTCTGCCTTAAGCTCCAGGCTAGGACTACGGTTTCCTACAGAGCTGCAGAAGGTTGATTCACCTGTGTGGGCTTTGGCTCCCCCTCCTGGCCGTTCCGTGGTTCCCCTCTCCTGGTGGTGGGTAGAAGTCCTTTCAGGTGGGACGCTCCGGTCAGTGAGGGATGGGATCCCGAGGAATGTTCTAGCACTGGGCTCTGGAACTTTCTGCATCCCACGCTGAGGAACGGCTGATGCTCCTAACATTTGACCTTCAGGTTCAAGAAGATAAAGACCATACTTCACTTTCACCCCTTTTAAAAACTGTTTAGCACAGAGCCGGGGATTTAGCTCAGTGGCACTGTGCCTCTCTCACATGCACAAGGTCCTGAGTTTAATCCCCGGTACTGCAAAAAAAAAAAAAAAAACAAACCAGTTTAGCACACCTTTGAGCAGAGATAGAACTAGATAGCATATGCCCCATCTTCGGAGTAGCCCTGCTCCTGGCTGCGCTGAGCTCCACCTTTATCCTGCCCACTGCATTGTATGTATTTCATCCATCAGTATTTCAGTGCCTATCTCCAAAACCCAAGGACTTTAGTAAAAATGAGTTCAACCAGCTGGGGACTTAGCTCAGTGGCACTGTGCCTGCCTCACAAGCGCAACGTCCTGAGTTCGATCCCCAGTATCAAAAACAATAAGTTTGACCAGCCTGGGGTGGTGGCACGTGCCTGCAGTTCCAGCTACTCGGGAGGCTGAACCAAGAGAATCACAGGTTAAAGGCCAGCCTAGACAACTTAGCAAGACCTTCTCTCAAAATACAAAAAATGTAGAAGGCTGGGAATGTAGCTTAGTGCAAGGCCTGAATCCTAGTACCGGGGATGGAGGGTTAAAGAAAGACAAAAAAAAGTCAGCCCAATCACTAGGAAAAACAGTCTTGAAAATGAAAATCCTCCTTCCCTCACGTTCTGAGCGCTCGTGCATTCAGGGACTTCAGCCGAATAAAGTAGCCTGGGCCTCTCAGTGGGTTCTTCACGCCTGGCGTGTCCTGTTGGAACAGGCTCCTTGGGGACTATGCCTGCCTTCAGCTCGGCTCCTCCTCCTTCCTGTTTTGCAGGACATTGAGGCGACAATGAACTCTGCCCTGAATGAGCTGCGGGAGCTAGAGCGGCAGAGCAGTGCCAAGCACACCCCCGACGTGGTTCTAGACACCTTGGAGCCCCTCAAAACCTCACCGGTGGCGGCCCCCACCTCGGAGCCCTCCAGCCCCCTGCACACCCAGCTGCTCAAGGACCCTGAGCCCGCCTTCCAGCGCAGCGCCAGCGCCAGCACCGCGGGGGACATGGCCTGTGCCTTCCGGCCCGTCAAGTCCGTCAAGATGGCTGCCCCGGTCAAGCCCCCCGCCACACGACCCAAGCCCGCCGTCTTCCCCAAAACGAATGCCACTAGCCCTGGTGTCAACTCGTCAGCTTCCCCACAGTCCACTGACAAGTCCTGTACTGTCTGAGGGGTATAATTTAATTGTTCTAGACAAGGGGACTGTAGGGACTGACTGTTATTAAACTCTTCCTATTTAACTAGCTTGGGGACTTCAGTTGAAAACTAGATTCTAAGTTGTTCTGGCAGAATTAGCCTCCCCATCACCCAAACCTCAAGAATGAAGCCCTTGTCACCGCCTCTCCCTTCCCTTCCCACTGCCCTCTGCTTCCCCCGGTCATTGTAATCCAGCCAGCTGCAGTCTACGTTCTTAGGTCAGCCAGAGACAGTTTTCGTTACCAGGTCGTGGTGAAGTCTGGCAAGGCAAAGCAAGACACGGAGGACACGGGCTCAGGGCTCATCCCCTTGGTCTCGGCCACGCGGTCTGCCCCTCCATCCAGCTGTCGGTGACATCTGGCTTTGGCCAGATCTGATTATAGAGAATCGTGGAGTCTGTTCGCTTCACACACACACACACACACGTTTTCCTGGTCTCTGGCACATGTGGCCTCCCGCTCAGAAACCAGTCTCTGTAAATTACTGTGGCAGTTCATACAGGAGAGCCACCCGGGACTCTTTCCATCACAGACTCTGTTCTTTTGGGCCAGAACCTGCCTTGCCTTTGGAGTCTCTCATTCTGAAATGCAGCAGGATGGGCCGATCTGTAATCTGCGTGGGCTGGTGCCTTTCCCTCCGTCTTCCTCCTATTGCTGTGAGTTGGTCACTGGTGTTCGCTTTTCTCTCCTCCATCCTGTAGAAGTACAACCCAATCTGATTAAGGAGCTTTTCAAGTTTTTCTGAATGTATAGACATTTCTCTCGTTCCTATCTTTGTCTCCGAGGGAGCATTTTCCATTTAAGACAGTTTCCTATGTAAGACAGTTTTATAGCTGATTGCTTTTAGAGTAAAGAGTTAAAGTTTTATTGTGTTTGTGGCAGGTTTGATAAAGGTAAGAAATGGGTCCTTCCTCCTTCCACCTTTGGGGCACTTAACTCATAGAATTCATTATGCTATTAAAAAGTTAAATTCCACTTTGCTAACAAAAAAATTGTTCCCAAATGAAAAATTCTTTGAAGTTCACCCCTTGGTTGGGTTATTTTATAAGGTCTCTCTGGGGACCAACAGGGACTTAGCCCTCGTTGAGACAGACACTGCCCCTTCAAGTCGGTTTCCATTCCTCCAAACGAGGACACCTAAGGAAGCCTGGCCCCAGACGTTCCAAAGTCCACTCAAGACCAGAATCTAAAGAGAAGGAGATGCTGCATACTTCGGCCTGCCTTTGGCCCCTCCTGGTCTCCCTCCAAAATGCAGAAATGGTGCCCCTGCCTGCTCCAAGGCAGCTTGCAGGCTGGCGCTCATGTGCTCGCACCGGGCTGCCACGGGCCCCCAGCCTGGGCACACCACAGCTCAGGCCCACAGGCCCACGGCTCCGCGAATAGAAGCTGAAGCTCACCCTCTTCTCTGCGTTTTCTGCTTTGGCAGCTACGCTTTTATTTTAGCCTTTCCGTTTCTGTAGTTGAGGAGAGACGCTGGGTGGCCGCTCTGGTAGGAAAATGGGAGTGCTCTTGTCTTTGCCCCGGAAGGGATCCTGTTGGGACCCACACGTGAAGCTGGCAGTGGGACCCCTGGAAAGCTTGGGTGTTTTTCATTCTGTGTGAGTAGGAGGGCCTGGGAGTCCCTGACGGAAGGGTTACCTGACCGCCACATCAGGGAAACCACTCCAGGACCGGGGTGAGCCAGGCTCCCTTCAGCAGAGTGCGTCTCCCTGGAGAGCTCACCCACGTTCCTGGGACTCCTGGTCTTCACCGCTCTGTTGAGAGGCCCGTTCTTGTCTTGGCCCAGGCTCATCCAGGTCCTGAGCCAAGAGGGGCTTTCAGACTCAAGGATCTGCTTCCCATTGAAAATGAAACCCCACTCTACATTCCTTTCAACCCAGCTGATTAAAACTGGCTCCCTGCCTGCTCTTCGCGCCGCCCCCCATGTACGCCCTCCCCTAGGAAAGTGAAAGGGAAACTTTCTTAAGAACCGCTTGGGCCCCGCCCTGTTGCTCTCGCCTCATTTCCCTCTCAACCCTGCACATGCCTGTGTTTGCCACCCCCTTGGTCCGTGTCCCTCTGCTGGTTGAGTCATGACCTGCGCGGTGTGTGAGCGGTTGCCTGTGAACCCCAGCTCTGGGAGCCGGGCCTCATCTCTGGTGCTCCTGACGCCTGCGAGGTGGCCCTGTCCGGAGGACCGGGAACCGGCAGGAGGAGAGTTCTCGGCGGAGTTCACCGCAGTCAGCTGGAATTGGGGTCGGCGCACACTGTGATTCTGCACCACAGGGCCGAAGGGAGCTGGTACCCCAAGTCTTCAGACACGCTTGCTGAAACCAGCACCATGCTTCCGGGAGCCCTGCTCTGCCCACTGGGGCCTGGATCCTCTGCCTGGCCGGGGCTCTGAAGGCTCGGTCTCTGGGAGGGGAGGTGGATGGGGCTCCCTGCATCCCACTTTGGACAGCGGAGGAGTTTGCAGCCGGCAGCCTGGAAACTGGAAACCCTGGTCTCAGCCAACCTCAGGGCACCCAGGTCTGTCCCCAAGACAGGTGCACTGGTGCCAGCATCAGAAGGAACAGACCGCGGGCAGGGCTGGTGTCCATGGACTCGACCTTCAGAAGGGAAGTTGGATCTTCCAGGGCATCGCAGTGTTGTGGCGTCTGGCTTGTAGGTCACGTCTGTGTAAAATGGTATATTCTTTAAATAGTGTTGATAACTGGAATATTGTATGTATGCTTGGAGATGCTTTTTGTGAACCTAAGACTGTCACTCAACAGATGTTGGATTGGGGAAAATCCAAAGCACAACTTCAAAATAAAATACATTTTTAGGTTTCGATGCTGCAGTCCGCATCCCTTCCCCACTGTCTGAGTCAGGAGCACAGCTGCTCGAAAGAGGTTTTGATTCGTCCCTGCTACCAGGCCTGCCTGGCAACAGGGCGGAATGAGGGGATCCAAGCCAGCCACCTCCCTCCCGGCCAAGGCCCCTCACAGTTGCATTTAGAACGTGGATTTCCTTTCTCCCGTGTTTCCATTTAGCTGGCACGTGGAACCTGAGATTGTGCAGCCTCCTGGCATGCCATTGGCCACCCTGTTGCCATGCAAACCATTTCTTCACCGAATCCACCTTCCCGGGGTCAGTGAGGACTGTTCTATTTCCGTCTGTGGTCAGAGTCCCCCTGGAGGAGGGAAGCCTAAGAGCCTGGTTGGAAACTGCCAGCTCTGTAGCAGGGCGGCCAGAGCCCTGAGTCACTGCCATGGCGGGTTACAGGGGCTGCTTTGTCCTTTAGATTTTGGTGGTAACGCAAGTGAGCTCAGGGTGAGGTTGTTCAGCTAACAGCGGAGCACTTCCGGGCCGCCCGGTGAGCTGTTGCTCCCGTCTGGCATCACAGGCCCAGAGCAGTGGGCCGGCCAGTCAAGGCCTGGAACCTCTGGAAGTGCGCCTGGGGCTCCACTTCCGGGAGAGGAACGGAGTCTAGAGGCAGCAGATTCTCTGGACGGCTGACTCACTGGTTCGTGGAACACACCATTGTCCCTAGCGCCTGCTTGGTGAAGACTGAGCCGCTCCGCCTGTGAGCCCTCCCTGCTGCGCCCACAGTGGGCACTCTGACTCCCGTGTCTTCTTACACATCCGTGAGCGTGCGAGACTTTATAAATACGTTATTATTAAGCAAAATGTCAAAGATAGCTTAAAATGAGTTTAGAGCCCCAAGGGCCCACGCTTACGTCTGCTCACCCCGGGCACCGATCGGCCTCTCCGCAGAGAGGGCTTCCCTGTGTTCTGGGGTCGTGCAAGGGTCCTACGGGGCTGGCCGGACACTCACATCCTCCCAGGGTTCCCTTCTCCATCTGCAGTGTGTCTCGCCCTCCGCTCTCCCCTCCCATCTAATGGCATGGCTACGTCCTGAGCTCTCCTGCCGGCCCCCTGACCTTGGGGAGGCAGGCCTGGGGCTGTCCTCCACCCTGTGCGCGAGCACCTTGTACCTGAGGAGGAGTCAGTTCTGAGGCTGTGCTGGGACAGAAGAGACCTTTCAGTGAGTCCTAAGGCAAAGGCTGCTTCCTCTCATTCTTTCTTTTTTCCTTTGGCAAGAGGGGGAGGGGTAGGGTGGCTAAGCCAGAGACTCACCATGTAGTTCAGGCTGGCCTTGAACGGGTGATCCTCCTGCCTCGGCCTCCTGAGTGCACCATGCCTGGCTCTCATAGGTGATGGGAGCTTGATGGAAGGGAGTGGCAACGAGCAGTTGAAACAGAAGCCCATTTTATCTGGATAGAAACCAGAAAAGGAGACCAGGTGGGTGTGAATGTAAGAGATAGTCTTTAAGATGATCTCATCTAAATGTTTATAGTTACATCAGGTTTCCCTATTCAGGAGTTAATCCTGGCATGTTACATGCAACGAAGCCTCAGACATTTAGCCAGTCAGCAAACTTCAAGTCTTTCCATGCGCACACTGTCATACAGCACTAGACAGGAGAGGACAGGTAAGCAAAATGGCTGTCAAACTGAAAAATGAAACATGTCAAGAGAACGTCTGGCTTGGTCAGGAAAGGCCATGGTGGTGGGAGAGTGGAGGTCAGGAACCCTCACGGGCTAGCAATGCTGAGGTGACGGCGGCATCTGGCGGGAATCTGGTGGGCCCAGCAGAGGGGTGACAGGGAGCAGGGAGCCCGCCTGGGGACAAACACACTTGTCCTCATCTTAGAAACCCAGAGCGGAGGAGCCACAAAACGGGAGGCGGGTGCCGGGTGCCGGGTGCCGGGCGGGCAGGGTCATGGAGACCAAGGGCCAGCAGCACCTAGCAGAGGAAGGGGCCTCCGTGGGGCATGGGTGACGCGAGGTCCTAAGAGGGAGCGGAGGGCTTTGTTCTTGAGACAGCTGAGCTGGGCGTGGTGGCACACGCGCACCTTAAGTCCAGCCCTCTGGAGGCTGGGGCAGGAGGATTGCAGGTTCGAGCCCAGCCTGGGCAGCTTAGCAAGCCCCTGTCTCAGCGTATAAGTAAAGACATACATAAACAGCTCAGTGTGAAGGCCCTGGGTTCAATCCCCAGTACTATACACAAATAATAAAAGGACAGTGTCGAAGCTCTTCTCTTGGTGGGCAGGACCCAGAAGAATGGGAAGAAGGACCTTGCAGGAAAGGAAGAGGCACAGAGAGACAGGGTGGCCCAGCCGGCGAAGTGGAGCGTTGTCCTGTCTCACCCGGCAGGAGTGAGGGGATGGATGTGAGTGCGAAAGGCAGCTCCCTGTGGACTGCTGCCCGGCTGAGAGCAGGGTGAAGACGGGAGGTTGGAGGAGCCCAGAGAAGGACTGGACACCAGGAACACGGAGCACAGCAGGGACCACTCCCCAGCCCATCCCTGTCCCTGTCCCTGGGAAGACCGGAGGCGACACACACGTTGGCGGTGGCGTTAGTCCTTCCTTCCTTCCCGCCGGAGCTCCCGGCCAGCACTGACTCCCGAGGGGGTGGGGGCAGGGCTCTGCGGCGGTGTCACCTGGCCCTTCCTGCTGGGAAGGCGGGATGCACCCCACTCCTCCCTCCCCTTCCTGGCTCTGGCCACTCAGGCAGCTAGTGCCCCTTGCTCTCTTTTCGTGGGACGATGGTGCTGCGGGCTGAACCCAGAGCCTCTCACACGCTAAGCACGCACTCTGCCCTGTCCGACTTTGTGGTTGTCATTTTGAGGCAGGGTCTCCGTATTTTGCCCAGGCTGGCCTTGAACCCCGAGGCTTAAGCTTAAGCCACCCTCCCACCTCAGCCTCCCAGGTCAGCCTCCTCAGCTGACAGGCATGCGCCACCACACCCCCAAAACTTGTACCTGTTCAGAACTTACCAGGCTCCAGGCATTTCATCTCATTTTGCTTCATACATCCTGGAAGCAAGGCTGAGGGGCTTGGCCGAGCTCACCAGGGTAAGAGCCAGGATGCAAACCTCCGGGTGCCTATCAGCTCCCCTGCCCTCTCCACTGCGCCATCGGCCCTCTTGGGAAAGGCACACGGGTGGGCTTCCTTCCCCCTTTGGTTCTGACGCACCCTTGGACTGCCACTTCTCGCTAGGATTCCTCAGAGCCACTCAGGAATCAGGTAGCATGTAGGGATGGGCCAGGTTAGGACGCAAACCTCGGTGGCCTAAAACTGATTTCTCACAAAGCCAGATGTCCTCTGTGGCCCAGCAGGGGGCACCCTGCCGCGTAAAAGTCAGGGACCAGGACTAGGAGTGGCCACCACAGGGAACACAAGCAGCTTGCCTGAGGGCCGGAGCTAGAGGTCTGAAGGAACAGCTTTACCTAGAAATCACAGGCTCCTCCGCTCCCCATTCCAGGGCCGAGGAGGTGCAGTTCTCGCCTGTGCCCAGCAGGCGGACGGCTGGGAGCCCTGCCAGCTCTGAACGTTGCTCCTGGCTGCGCTGAGAACTGCGGCCAGGGCTGGGCTCCTTGTTATCATCAGGTAAATCTCTGAGCAGGAGGCAGTTAGTTCTGCTGTCACTTCGAGGGGTGGAGCTGGCGGAGGAAACCACCAGGTGTGGCCTTGGGAAAGTCCCTCCACCCTTCTATCAGAACAGGGAATTTCCTGCTTTTAACCAGTTCTTATTCAGAGCAGCTCGGACCCCTCCCGCCTTGCAGGACCTGGGGAGCCCTGGGCCCTGTCTGAGAGGTTGGCACACCTGGCCTCTGAAGCTCTGGGCCAGTTCCTGAAGGAGGGTAGGAATGCCAGGGCCCACAAGGCTCCAACCCAGGAATGCCAGGGCCCTCCACACCTTCTGATCTGAATGGACGAGAAAGCTGGCTGGGAGGGGCCGAGCTGCCCCTTGGAGAGCATGGCCTGGGCCCCAGGGCTTCTCATGGGCCCCTGGGCTCGCAGGAAGGAGTCAGAGCCTGCACCTCCAGGCCCTGGGAACCCTCCCTCAGTTAACTTGCCCGACCTGCTCTGTTTACTCCAGGGAACCATGCGAGATGCCAGAACTCTGAGCTTCATTGCCTCAACTCTGAGGCTCACACGCCTCCACCTGGGAACCCACAGGATCCTTTTTCTCCTCCTGCTTCGGGCGGGTGGGGGTGGCCACTGCAGAGTCGCTGTCTCTTTAAGAGAGAGAGGGAGAGGGAGAGAGGTGGAGAGAGAGAAATCAGGAAGTGTAAGTGTGGGACTGCCCCGCCTGGGCTCCAACCCTCCAGTCCAGCTCTGGGTGGCTCGGGCCACTCCTACTGGTCCTGCCTGTGCCCTGGGCCCATGGCTACCAGGAGGCTCTGGGCACTGCCCATGAACCCGTGCAGGCTCTGAAAGGTTGGGGTGCTGCCGGCTCCCACAAACCCGCATCCCCTGCCTGCAGCCAAGATGGGGTGAGTGTGGCCTCGTGGGGGAGGGTGTGCTCCCCTCCGGAGGGCCTGGCGGTGTCCTGCGCCCCACCTGGGCTGCTCCATGCGGCTGGGGCCAGACGGTGTCCCACACACCCTCCCTGGTGGACATTCGTGGAAAGGACTTCGAGGAGGCCGGTGAGGGAGGGCTGACAAGAGAGCCAGTGCAGTGCTAGGGTGACCCCACTCCCCGGGGTCTTTTCCCCTGGCCACAGTCCCAGGAGTGGGAGCGGCCAGAAAAGGCCCCAGAGCCCCTGGGGAATGGGCCTGGAAACCAGCCCCCTCTCTGCCCTGTGCGTGCGTGCGTGCGTGCGTGTGGGTGCGTGTGTGTGGGGGTGACAAACAGGAAAGGGTTAAGGGCTGGGGCTGGTGGCCTTTGAAATGGGGCTAAGAATCCAACAGCACCAAGGGGGCCTCTCATCCGCCCTGCCCTCCTCTTTCCGGTGTAGCTCAGGTCCTGGACTTGCCCCAGACAGAAAGTACAAAGCCGGCTTGCCCGGGACAGCCTGTGCCTGACTCAGCCTCCAGAGCCGGGTAAGTGCCCGGGCCCAGGGAGGAGGCTCTGGGCAGGTGTGCAGCTCAGGTGCTCTGTGTCCCCCACTCTACTTTGCAACGGCTTCTCCCTGAGAGCTTCTCCCTGGACACAGGTGCCAGGCAGGAGGAGGGGACAGGGCAGGGAAGGCAGCTTCAGGCCGGAGGAGCTGCAGTCCGCACTCTCAGGCTAGGGACCCAGGGGCCCGGGTGCCCTGTGGACTGCACTGCCCGCCTTCGGCATCCTCAGCTCTGCCCTGACCCTGGAGAGGAGCAGCCCGGGAGGGCCATGGTGGAGGTGGTATGGTCTGTGGCCCTGCAGGTACCGGGCTGGGCCTTAGCCTTGGGAGTGGGAGTCCCTGGCTACTGCCATGTGCACCGAATCTCGGTGCCCCGGTCCCTCCTGCACAGCGCAACAGGACTGTCTCCTCTGAAACTGCACCCGCCCTCTGACCTTGCCCAGTGGCTCTGGCTCAAGCCCTGGACACTCTCTGGCATTTGCAGTCTTAAAAACGGTTGCAGAGAAAAGGCTCAAAGCTAAGCAAGGTAGAATGAATCCCAGGAGAGGCCACACAGCTTGAGGGTCCAGGAGACTCAAAGGAGGAAGAGGCCTTTTCTGGTCCAGACTTGTTTCACATATTTGAGGGAGGGTGACCCCTTACGCCCCTGTCCCCGGGTGTCCCCAAAGGGCAGCCCGGCCCTGCTTTTGGACACTGACTTTTAACCTCTGAGGCTACACTTCTGGAACCAGTTGTGTTAGAGGAACCGGCCTGGAGGGTGGGAGCAAAGATGAGGAACAGAGCTGCAGGGCTTTCAGGTCCTCCTCTGCAGCAGCCCTGTCCCTTGCTGGGCCAGCAGCTGGTGGCCTGGTGAGCAGCAGGAAGTGGCAGTGGCAGCGAAGGGGTGGGTGGGGCTCTGGGCTGCTGTTGCAATCCTGGAGATTCTCGGCTCTTTGTGGTGTGACTGACCCGGGCCCTTCCTCCTGCACTATTTCTGCTTCCTGGGACGAAGCCAGGCTTGGATTTTAAAGCCCTGGAGGCCTCAGTGCCCGTAAGAGGCGAAGGAGTGAGGAGGTTTGTCTGCAGAATGGCTTGCCTGGGTGGGGGGATGCAGGCACTGGCCCTGGGGGCGCTGATGGCACTGCTGCTGCCGCTGCCGCTCTGCTGTGCTTCTTTGGGGGAAGCCACTCAACCTTTCTGCCTCCCCCTCCCCTGCTCCATGCTGTGGAATGACCCCATGGAGCCCGTCCTGGGTGTCTCGGCACTGGCTGGTGCTGCAGGGCAGGGTCGGAGTCCTAGGGCCCAGCGTGTGCTTCTTCCATCCAGGTTGCAGGTGGCCGGCAGCCCGGGGCAGGAGATGCAGAGCACAGGCAACTACCTGTGGCACACAGATGACCTGCTGGGGCAGGGGGCCACGGCCAGCGTGTACAAGGCCCGCGACAAGGTAGGCTCAGCCCTGGAGCTCCAGCCCTCGCGCCGTGCCGGGCAGGGGGCCCGGTGGGCTTGCAGTGTGGCCCCATGCACTCGGGAGGGGGATCTCAGGGTAGCCGAGGTGGGAGGCTGCACCTGTCGGGTTTGTCCTGCACCTGCCACTGAGCTGTACCACACCGGAGATGCCGCTCTGCTCTCGGCCTTTCAACCCCAGCCGGGCTGGGACAGCAGGGAGTGCCCACTGCCCCCGAAGCCCGTCTGTGGCAGCAGGAAGGACACCACAGCCCGGCCGGCAGGACATCCAGCGGGCGGTGCTGGTCAGGAGAGACTGGCTGCAGTGTCCCCACGCCGCCCCTCCCCACGCAGAAGTCGGGTGAGCTAGTGGCCGTGAAGGTCTTCAACACCGCCAGCTACCTGCGGCCGCGCGAGGTGCAGGTGAGGGAGTTTGAGGTCCTGCGGAAGCTCAGCCACCAGAATATCGTCAAGCTCTTCGCGGTGGAGGAGACGGTGGGTGCCCCTTGGTCAGGGTCTGGTCACCGGCAGCCAGCAGGCAGAGGGAGGGATGGCACGCGCGGAGCAGAGAGGGCTTCCGGGAGGAGGCGGCCTTGTGGGCCCCGGCAGGGACAGCAGCAGAGGTGGCCGGAGAGCAGAGCCCCTCTTCGGGTTGGGGGCTCCTCTCCTTCCAAGCCTTGCGTGCCTCCGCAGGGGCCCGGCCGGCAGAAGGTGCTGGTGATGGAGTACTGCTCCGGCGGGAGTCTGCTGAGCGTGCTGGAGAGCCCCGAGAACGCCTTCGGGCTGCCTGAGGCCGAGTTCCTGGTGCTGCTGCGCTGTGTGGGTGAGCGCCTTCCCCTCGGGCTCAGACTCCGCCTGTGCCCCGCACACTGGGCAGAGCCCCGGGAGTGATGGGAACCAGCACCCCAACTCAGATGGACGCCCCGAACCCACGAGGCTGTCCATCCACAGACGCGGTCCGCGCCTGCTTTAAACATGTGCAATTTTAAAACAAAATTCAATTGAATTTTTTTTTTCTTTGGTACCGGGGATCGAACTTGGGTCCTTGCGCTTGCGCAGCAGGCGCCAAAACCACTGAGCTAAATCCCCGGCTAAAACAAAGTTCAAAAAGAGCACACAGCAGTATGGAAGGCGGCATGACTCACAGTAGCCAAAAGGTGGAAACAGCCTAAAAGGAAAACGTGTGCTACCTACACGCAGTTGATGGTAATTCCGCCTTAAAGAGGAAGGAGATTCTCAGGCCCCGCCTTCATCCCAGCACTCTGGGAGGCTGAGGCAGGAGGATGGCAAGTTCGAGCCCAGCCTGGGCCACTCAGTGACTTTGAAAATAAAGTAATGATACTAATAATTAGTAATAAAAAGATGGGGCTGGACAGCGTGAGTCCATGCAGGGTGATGGGAAAGTTCTGGAGATGGAAGTGACATCTGCATGTCCAGTGTCCTGCGCCGAACACTCAGAAGTGGTAACAGCGGCGAGTCCTGTCAGGTGCATTTCCACACACGCACACACACGCACGCACGATGGGGCAGGGCCGGCCCCTTCAGCTGCGGGCCTGTCTGCTGGACCCGACCCTTCCCGAGCTGAGCCCGGCTGCTCTGTCCCAGTGGCCGGCACAAACCACCTGCGGGAGAACGGCGTCGTGCACCGAGACATCAAGCCAGGGAACATCATGCGCCTGGTCGGGGAGCAGGGGCAGAGCATCTACAAACTGACGGACTTCGGGGCCGCGCGGGAGCTGGATGAGGACGAGAAGTTCGTGTCTGTCTACGGGACGGAGGAGTACCTGGTGAGGGGTGTGCGGGACCGCTGAGGTCCAGCCCACCCCCACTCCGGGCGGGGTCCTCGCTCACCCTGCGCCCAGCCAGGGGCATGCATCCCATCCTGTTCTTGAGAATGGCAGCGGGCACTGAGCCTCACCGGCCAGTCTGATCCTCGTGGTGGAGGGAGGGACACAGCGGCCACCACCGCTCTGGGCAGGCGACAGCACGTTTGTTTGAGACAGGGTCCTACTGTGTAGTTCAGGCTGGCATCAGACTCATGGCAACCCTCCTGCCTCAGCCTCCTGAGTGCTGGGATTCTAGGTGTGTGCCACCATGCTGGGCTTACAGTGGCCACTTTGAAGAGGACACGGGAGATGGACTCCGAAGGGCTGTTTCTGCTGACAGGCCGTGGAAGGGCCTCCATTCTGCTCTCTGACTCCCCCCACAGCACCCGGACATGTATGAGCGGGCGGTGCTGCACAAGCCCCAGCAGAAGGCGTTTGGGGTGACAGTGGACCTCTGGAGCATCGGGGTGACCCTGTACCACGCGGCCACTGGCACCTTGCCCTTCGTCCCCTTTGGTGGGCCGCGACGCAACAAGGAGATCATGTACGGGCAAGGAGTGAGGGGCCTGAGCCACGGACTTCTCCGGGCAGACCCCTGGCCCCACTGTCCCTGGCCTCTGCTGCTGTCTGCTGTCCCCCACCCCACTCCAGCCCAGGCTCTTTTAGGGCCCCTTAATCACAATCCAACTAGAAGCTGAGCTCTCCCTGGCTTCTTGATGGGCCACTTCCTCCCTCTCTCTCTCTCTCTCCCTCTCTCTCTCCCTGCTACTGAGAATACTAGGGGTGCTCTACCACTGAGCTACATCTCTAGTCTCCATTTTCCATTTTGACACAGAGTCTTGCTAAGTTGCCCGGGCTGGGCTCCAACTCACGGCCTTCTGCCCCGGGCCTGGCACAGGCTCCCTTGTCCCTCCCTTCATTCCCTGCTCACCTGAAGTGCACGGGGGAGCACAGAGATGTGCGGGCGAAGGTGGGGCATTTCCCCCTCCGGTTTCCGGCTGGGGACAGTAGCTGCTCACAGGCGCAGCTCCCAGAACAGAGACGTGAGATGGCAAAACAGCAGAGCCGGAGGGAACCTCTGAAGCAAGGGTCATGGTGCAGGACAGAGGGTGACCAGGAAAAGGACCCTGTCCTGGGACAAGTCCACAACTCCCACAGCAGGGCTGGGGAACAGTTAGAAAAATGGCCCCTGGACCTGCGGCCGTGGCATTTGTATAGATTTCAGGAAAGGCGAGCACAAACTGTTCACAGTGAGCTGACCTGGGCGTTGGCCAACAGGGCGGGGTAAGAGGGGAGAGCCTCGAGGCAGGAGCGCAGGCCAAGGCCGGACCTGTAGCTCCCTCCTGGGCCACTGGGTTCGCATCCCAGTGGGGCTCTACAGAAACTGTGCGGGTGCATGGGTGAGGAGTTAAGCCAGGGTTCCCACAAACCTCCAAAGCCCTGAGGCGGTTCACCGATTAACTCCCCTTCCGTCTCCCGCACCCAATCCTCTGGCCTTTGCCTCTAGCTATGGGTCCTTCCTCAAAGGCCCTTGGCTTTTGTCCCTGGATGGTGGCGGATGTGCTCCCTCAGCCCCAGGCCGGCTGTGGGGACCACTTCCTGTTAGAACTGACCCACCCTGCTGTGCTCACCAGCACTTGAAGTGCTCTGGCTCTGGGGCCTTGCTGACCTGATCCCACCCTGCCCCAGGTACCGGATCATCACGGAGAAGCCGGTGGGGGCCATCGCAGGGGCTCAGAGGCGGGAAAACGGACCACTGGAGTGGAGCCACAGCCTCCCCATCACCTGCCAGCTGTCCATGTGAGTGGGCGCTGGGCACCCCTTCTCTGATGCATCAGGACTTCTGAGGATGGCCCAGTGGAGCCCCAGCTTGCTGCGGGCTGGGGACACCACGTTGCCTCTGTGGCCTTGGGTTCTCCAGAAAGCCCTCCTTAGCTGGGAATTTAGCTCAGTGGTCCCGAGTTCGATTCCCGATACCAAAAAAAAAAAAGAAAGAAAGTCCTCCTTAGCCTGTCTCGCCCGCTGTCTTGGTCCTGGGTCCTGGGGCTTCTCCCAGATGCCCCCATTACCTACGAGAGCGGGCCACTCCTGTCCCAGTCCCTGAGAGTCTCCATGTCCTGGGAGGGCAGGGGGCTGCAGAGCCAGCTGGTGCCCATCCTGGCCAACATCCTGGAGGTGGAAGAGGCCAAGTGCTGGGGCTTCGATCAGTTCTTTGCGGAGACGAGTAACATCCTGCAGCGGGTCGTGGTCCACGTCTTCTCCCTGTCACAGTTCATCCTGCACCACGTCTATGTCCACGCGCACAACACGTGAGTGGGGACTTTTAGGCAGTGTCTCCAGAGGGACTGCAGCAGGGGCCGAAGACAGGAAAGCTTCGGGGTCCAAACTTAGTGTGGAAAAGAACTAGTTCCATCGAGGCAGCAGGTTTCCTCGCTCACGCCTGGAAGATTCAGTAGCCTTCAGAAGATCAATGTGCATCATAAATCCCAGAAGCGTGTGTGCGTGTGCGCGTGTGGTTCATTTCCTGAAGCACTTTATGGAGTGCTTTATGGGACTAGGAGAATTTTGATAGTGGTACAGCAGGAACAGATACAAAAGCAGACACTGGGCCTTGGGACTTGTGAGTCCTGTTACCTCTCTATCTGTAAGGTATGAACCCCATCTTTATCTGCCTATCCTCCGTGAGAGAGAGAACCACCCTGGCGCCCCGGTCTGAAAAGCTCCCTGGGGAGGGCTCTGGCTGAGCTCTGCTCCCAGCCCTCTCTGCCCACTGACCTTCTTCCCCCACTGCTCCCTAGGATCGCCATCTTTCTGGAGGCTGTGTATGAGCAGACCAACGTGGCCCCCCAGCACCAAGAGTACCTCTTCGAGGGTCACTTTTGTGTCTTCGACCCCAGCCTCTCAGCACGGCACATCGGCCACACGACTGCCAGAAGCCCCCTGACTCTGTTCAGCACGGCCAGCGACACCCCCAAGGGTCTGACCTTCAGGGACCGTGAGTGGGAGCAGCCAGGCTGGATCTTTTGTCCGGGTGATGTCCTCCAGGATGCAGAGGTTTACCGTCCAGGCCACTGACTCGTTTTCCTTTTGGGTGTTTCTTTGGGGCCACAAGGTACAGAGGCAGGTCTGGGTTTTAATTATGCCCATGGCTCCAAGGTGCCACATGACCTGTGTGGGCCTCTCGGCTCCTCAGAGGTGTGAAGAAAACTCCAATCGAGGCAGGGACATTGGCCCTTGATGCGGTGTCCACAGTTTCCATGATCAGTGGGGATAAGTGTGGTGTTCGCGTTAGAAGGTGGGTGGCCAGGGGTCCGGCTTTGTCTTTTCTCAGAGCTCTAGCAAAGACGTCCTTCCTTCTCATTAGAATGCTTCCATTTCTTCCTTCTCCTCTCAGGCGGGGAAGGGAGATTAATTTGGAAAAACAGCAGCAAGGTTTAGCTCTTTTTTCTTCTGACTTGAAATGGGGCCTTAAGGTTGGGGTGTAGTTCTCAAAGTGGCCACAAGGTGGCAGCAAACGACAGCTACTGGAAAGACCCACCTGACAGTCCAGCTTTGGAAGGTGCTTGCTTGGGGCGAGAGGTCAGCCAGGATGTGTGGGGGTGAGAGCGTGGCCGGGAACACGGAGGCTGGCCCAGGTCGCAGAGGCAGCCGGCCGCTCATGTAAGGTCTTTGTCTGCAGCCGCCTTGGACATCCCCAAGTTCGTCCCCAAAGTGGACCCGCAGGCAGACTACAGCACTGCCAAGGTGAGGGCCGCCCCGGGGCCAGGGCAGGGGCACAGGGTAGGAGGTGTGGGACTCCACCTCCCTCCCGTGTGTTTCAGGGCGTGCTCGGCGCCAGTCACCAGGCACTGCGGCTGGCTCGGGCCCTGCTCAGCGGGCAGGAGCTGGCCCTTCGTGGGCTGCACTGGGTCATGTGAGTGCTCGTGAGGCCTGGAGCGCCGGGGAGGGGCCCCACGACAGGCCACGGGTCTCCTCTGCACCCTGGACACGGTGGCCCTAACTAGCTCCTCCCCACCAGGGAGCTGCTCCAGGCCACATGCAGGCAGACCCTGGAGGTCATCAGGATTGCCCTCCTCTTCCTCAGCAGCAGCCTGGCCACCGAGCGGTAAGTGCCCTGCCCGGCAGGCTGGGTCCCCCTCAGCCGTCCTCTCTCCCTCTTTCCTGATACCCAGCCCTTCCCCTGTCCCTTAGCCCCACCGGGGGACAAATGACACATCCCCTCCCTCCCATCCGAGCTACTGCCCCTCAGGCGCTGGGGCAGCCTCTGCCCCGGAAGGCGTCCCTGTTCCACTGGGCTTGGATCCGCACCCTGTGCCAAGGCCCAGAGAAGGACGCAGGGGGAGGCAGTTACGCCTCGCAGGGTCCATGGACACTCACGAGGTGGAGGTGCAGGCGGCCTCCCCCCCGGGGTCTTCCACGAGTCCCAGGAACCCCACGCCTTCTGCTCTCCTGTCTGGCGCTACACAGGGATGACCGTGTGGAAAGGGAGTCTGGGAGGAGCTGGAGGGTCTGGAGATGAGAAGCAGGCGCAGCCCGAGTCCAGGTGCCCACGGCAGCTGCAGCCTTACTCACTGAGAGGATGTGGGTGGCGAGGGCACAGACACGCCCAGCCACGGCGGAAGCGCCCCAGCCACGCTGGATGTTGCCCCGCCCCTCCTGGGCCAAGCGGGGGGGGGCTCCCAGCGTGGCTGCCTGGCTCTCGGCAGCACAACACTGACGCCGGGCCGGTGGAGACAGTGAGGGCACAGGGGGAGGAAGAGGAGCGTCTCCTGGTGACAGGGGCGGGGCCCCACACGGCTGAGCCCCTTCACATGGTGGCAGAGAGGAGGGATCCATCTGCAGAACCTGGTGGGTCTCCTCCGAGCATAGCTCCCCCTGGCACAGGCAGGGAGCAAGCACAAGGTCCTGAGTTTGGTCCCGGGTACCTAACAAATAAAATAAAATATTTTAAATATACATGTTAATGGCAGGAAGTTAGAAAGTTCAGCTAAACAAAAGTAAAGTAAAAATAGTACCCACTACCTCCTCGGGGACAGGTCCTTACACTTTACTAGTATATACCCTTTGCTAGTACATAGCTTCCTACTGTATAGGTATATACGTACCAGGTAATGTGTGACTTTTCTGCATCTGCTGTTTTTACTCTGCTATTCTTGGCAAATGAACTTGTCCCTCTGTGACAGTCTCCTCTGGTGCTTATCTCTCTCCAATGTTTGCAATTATCCCTTGGAGTTCCTTTTACCGCTGGTTTTGTCCAGTCCAGGACCCAGTCCAAGCCAGACCTTTACCTGGTTGTTACGTTCCCTAAGTCTGAATCCAGCAGACTGCTTCCCCACTTCATGCTTTGCATGCCTCTGGCTTAGTGGAAGGACCAAGGCCGTTGTCCCGCCTCTGGGACTCATCTGGACCTTCCCCTTGGTGCTTTTTGCCTTGTTCTTCTTTCCTGGCACATCCTGTAAATCAGATGCACTGCAAGCTGCACTGTGTGCCAGAGTGCATCATGGGCCGTGCTGGGACTTCTCATTGCACACCGCTGGGTAGGGACAGCCTCACCCTTCCTCTGCGCAGATGAGCTTTTCCTGTGGATGCTGTGCGTTGCTTCACTAGGGCCAGCCGGGAGCTGATGCTCCAAGTCCTGGCCAGGTATTGGCCAATGGTCTACGAAAGATGGATTTCCTTCCTCAGTAAGCTCTTGGCTACCATGGAATACAGTTTCTCCTGGAAAGGAGCTTCGTTCTTTCTGTCTAGTTGCAAACGTTCTTGGGCAGGGGTGCGTTTGCAGCCACCTTGCATCTCAGGCTCATACATTTTCACAGATTCGGGGAGTCTGAGTCCACCCCAACCTTTATTCTTTGCACTACCCAGCAGTGTCACGGCGTTGGTGTATGGGCCGTCTTCTAGTTGGTTCCTCTGTCCCAAACACAAGAGACCTGAGAGCCAGCAAGGTTGTCCTGAGATGGCCTGCTCAGTAGTGGTCACAGAGCTCTCTGGCTCCCTCTTCAAATGCGGCCTTTCTCCTTCCTTTCTTCCAGGTCCAGCAGCATGGCCAGGATGCCTGAGATGCCCGAGATCTGGGAACTGCAGAGGGCTACAGAGCTGAGGTCCAAGCTACAGACTGTGAGCAAGCTGGGGGTGCTCAGTGGTGCAGCCAGGCTGGCGGCAGGGTCTCAGGAGGAGGACCCCAAGGATGCCTGCCTTTTTACCCCATAGTTGGCTACAGTTCTCACCAAATGTTCCCAAGATGTTGCAGAGACCCAGGTGAGCCTGAGCCACCTGAGCTTGGAGCTGGCGAAGACCCGGGATCAGGTACATGAAGACAGAAGGTCCGTGGGAGTTTCCTGATTTGTGGGGTGGAGGTGGGGAGGCGCACAGCCCTGAAGGTCCAGCAGCCTTTTCGGAAGTCCCCCACTTCCTCTCCTCCCTTGACAAGGTACTAGGGCAGGAATGAGCCAGACCCTCCCTGAAAGCAGCCAGCAGGATAAAAGGGTCTGGAGCCCCACGTGTGTCTGGGAACTTGAGGACTTAGGAAGGTTCGCAGGTACCATAGCTCTGAAGGAAAGTTCCTGGCTCTGCCAGGCCCCGGCAGGTCCTCTCACTTGTGACAACAGGAATGTTGCAGTAACGCCTGTTTACAGAGAAAGATGCTCCTCCCTCTGGGAGGTTAATTTGTCCTGAGAGGCAGGAGGATCGAAAGAGAGGCCAGCCTTGGGGGACTTAGTGAGACCCTGTCTCAAAATAAAACAAAAGGGCTGAGCGTATAGCTCCATGGTGGAGCACCTGCCTGGTAAACGCGACTCCTTGAGTATAATCCCAGTGCTGAAGAAACAAGTCAGAGAGAAACAGGCCTGGAAAGGGATCCTTCCTTACTGGGGAGTGACAAGTGCTGGGTGCGGCCGAGGTCACGTTTATCTACCTCCAAAGTCCTGTTCTCGGCCTGCAGCAGGCGGGATTCACAACCCTTTAAAAGCCCCATTCCCCCTTTTCACGAAGCTAAAAAGGCCCCACCTCCATCACCCTGTGGGATGTGGATGTCAGGCCGTGGGCTCCCTGTCCAGAGCTGGCCGGAGCGGGGTCCCCACAGCAGTCGGGGCCCCTGTGGATCTGTGATCTGCGTCCTCAATTCTAAACCCAAAGCTCTGCAATCGCCGTCATGCCCAGCCCAGAGGGACGCAAGGCTCTATGCAGTCTTCACTTACCCTTGGGGTGAGTGCGCCAAGTCTCTCAGAGTGGCGAGGGCCTCAGATTAGGGGTGTTGCCCTCAGGGGTCCCGCCCGGCATGCTGTGCGTGCCCTGAGTTTCTGAGCCCTGAGACGGGAAGACAATTCTGTCTTCAGGACACGCCTGGCCCGCAGGGTGGCTGGGTCCTGGGAACCCTTTCGCTCTGCCCAGAGCCCAGAGCTGGCTCCAGAAATAGCGGCGATGGGGTGGCCCAGCAGAGCCTCGAGGGCCTGGGGTGAAGAAGGGCACCCCAGAATCCCAGGCCGCCTGGTCAGCCGGAAGGGGACGCAAGACAGTCCTGACCTTCAGCCCAGGGACAAGAGCCTCCCGACTCCCTGCTACCGGCTGGGCTGAGCGCCAGTCTGTTTTGTTCCAAAGGAGGACTGTGGTTCACTCTTTCTCTTAAGTCCCTTCGCTGTGCCAGGCTTTGGGGAGCCAAGAAGGCAGACCCTTCTGGCCGGGCCTGGTGGCCAGGGGAGGTTGCTGCTCCCCTGGATCCCGGCTGCCAGGCCCCACTCTCCCGGGGCGGGTGGGGCGGGCAGTGCTGCTCGACTTCCTCTCCCTGGTGGGGCTCTGGCTGTGGGGCCAGCCGGGCGTGTGCAGTAGGCGGGGAGGACCCACAGGAGAACAGGAGGGCTGCTCCAGGCGTCTCCAACAAGCTCAGGGCCACGCGGCCCTCTCCCGCCCCTCACCCTTCACCCTGTGCTGTGTGATTCTCCCTGCCTCTGCCGCAGTACCCAGCAGATTCAGAGCTGCTTGGACAAGATGTACCTCATCTACAAACAGTTCAAGAAATCTAGGATGAGGCCAGGTGAGCACCCCTCCGCCCCTCCTGTCATCTGTGGGTGCACCCTGCAGAGTGCTGGGGGGCTCTGAGGTGGCCCCACCGTCACCCGGCCCACAGGCCAGTGAGGGACTCGAATCTCACACCCTGCCCTGTCTTGAAGGCTTAGATGACGTGGGTGGGGGAGCGGTGGGCAGAGCCTGGGTGCTACAGAAGCTAGGCAGAGAGGCAGGAGGGTCCCAAGTTCGAGGCCAGCCTGGGGGACTTAGTGAGCCCCTGCCTCAAAATACAACAAAAATGCTGAGGATGTCACTCCAAGGTAGAGCACTTCCCTGGCGTGTGAGAGCCCCTGTGTTCAATGCCAGCACCAAAGAAACAAACAAATGAGAAGTAGCCTGGGAAGGGGCTCCTCCTGTGGCAGGCGCTTTACGGTTATGGAGTTCTCTTATCCACTTTGTCTCTGGGGCACTGAGGTAGCAGGTTTTCCAGAAAGGAGGGGTCTAAAAATTCCCACTAGAGCCACTGACCAGCCAAGCCACACTGTCTGCTAATCTCACAAAGACCTGGGCAGAGCGCATTCAGACCCAGGGGTGAGCCTGCTCCCGAGGGGACTGCCTTCAGGGACAGGGGGAGGGGTGCGCCCAGGGCGGGCCTGGGGAGCCTGTGGGGGCTAACACAGCCGACCCTCTCTCTTTCCCATGTCCCAGGCATTTGCCAATCTACACACCAAAGGCCTTGAGCCTGACCGCTTAATCTTCTGCCCCTGAACTATGCAAAAAGCACTGCCTGAACTGAAACACAACGCCCACTGCACACAGAATGCATTGTTCCTCACAGCTGATGTTTTTCATTTTTTGTTTGTTTTCACTTTTTGAGATGGGGTCTCACTACAGAGCTCAGGCTGGCCGTAAAGCCACTATGTAGCCCAGGCTGGCCTCAAACTTGCTGCAATCCTCCAGCCTCAGCCTCCCAAGTGCTGGGATTACAGGCATGCGCCACCACACCCAGCTTCTCATAGCCAAAGTAGAAGGAAGCGGGTGAAATTAATTTTAATGTTTTACTCAGCCCAATATATCCCATGTGTCATCTCAGCATGTAATGTGAGAAGATTACGAGAGATATTTTACGTTCCTTCCTTAGACTTACGTTCCTTTTTTAGACTTAGATTGTGCTAAGTCTTCAAATCTTACATGTAATTCACATTTACAGCACATCTCTATTTGCAAGCTGAATGCTCAACAAAGTAAAATGTAGTCTTAACAAAACCATACAGCTACACTTAATGGGAAGATATGTTGCACTGTGTTAACTTTAACATTTAAATCAATTCATGTAAAAATGCAGGTCCTCAGCTGGGCAGCTGTGTGTCAGGGACCCCATAGCTGTGGATGCCTGCTGTCTACCTGCTGCTGGACACACAGGTCTGCTGAGGACAACCTCTCCCCACAGCCCCAGTGCTGCCTCGGGGTCTGGCCTTGGCAGCGACAAGGAACAGGGCAAGGCCTCCCGTCTTAGGAAGCCAGCGGGGCCTTGGGGCTCAGCCAGGCTGCTCAGTTGGCCACCTCTGTAGTGGCCTCAGACCTCAGAGGCCAGGAGCCCACACCCCTGCCACTCAAAACTGAGCCCCTCCTGGGCGCCAGCCCCGTCCCCAGGGCTGTGCGTGCTCTTACATTATTTAATACTCATAGACACTCGAGGTACCGTATCCTCCCCATTTTACAGAGGAGGAAACTGAGACACAGAAAGGCTAAGTAGCCCAAGCAGTATTGGCCCAACTGCTGTTTAACCACCTCTTTTTATAACCGCAAAGGACTTTTATTTCTAATGGTGTTTCAGAGTCCTTTATTAAAACGAGAAGTGAACCCTTAAGTGGTCACACCTGGAATGTTGGACGATGCCATTCCGGCTGGGTGTGGTTGCACATGCCCGTCATCCCAGCTACTAGGGAGGCAGGATCTTGTGTTAAAGTAAAAGCTTGACAAAAGGCTGGGGAGGCAGCTCAGTGAAATACCCCGGGTTCAATCCCTAGCACTGCAAAAAAAGAAAAACACAAGCCACTGGGAAATGCTTCGTGGTTTTCCGAGTAGCCTCTTCCATGATCGGAGCAGGAACCCTGTTGGCTCCGAGGCCAGTCACTTGCCTACAGCTGCCTGCCAATAGCAAGGAGGGCTAGGGCTTGCTCCAGATCTCTGGACCTCACAAGTGCTCTCAGCCGCTGCCGGCCCAGGAAGGGGGTCCCGTGGTTAGGGGAGCCGAATGGGAAGACTCAAACCCCAGCCACCTCGTCTTGCCGCTGCTACCACCCGGGAGGGCCATTCCCTCAAAGCCCAGCAGGGGGCAGCACCTCCCAGCTCAGGAGCCTTAGGGCCCTTGAGGAGGCGGGCACGTGCAAAACTGCACCTGTCTGGCAGAAATGCCCCTTCCGGCAACCTTCTGGCAAAGCGGCGGGGCACAGAGGGGTAGTCTGGGTGGTGGCCTGGCTTTTCCAGCTCGTCGCTGCAGAGCCCTCTGGCTGTGTCCAGTCTGCAGCACTGGGACCAGCCGGCTGCAGACACTGGCCACTTGTGAGTGCTGGGCGAGGGACCACAGGTGACCACGCATCCGTCAGGGCCCACTCGTCCCGCTCCCACCCACATGTAGGTCACCTTCCTTGAGAGCCTGTGGCACTTTCCCTGAAGGCTCCACTCGTGCCCTTCCTGGCTCCCTGGGCTTCGAGCTCCCATGAAGCTGGGCTGCGTCCATGTGTCCGTGTAACTGTCCCTGCTCTGTGGCACCCATGTGCTGGACAGAGTCCGCAGGTGATGTCATTCCCGACTGTTTCCTTCAGGGCTCGGCTACAATGAGGAGCAGATCCACAAGCTGGATAAGTGAGTAAGGTCCACTGGCGGGTGGGGCATGGAAGGGGGGCTGGGCAGTGGCCTGGGGGCCAGCAGAAGGGGAGGGGAGCTGCACAGCCGAGTCAGAGGGAGGCTTCTCGGGCCTCCACCCACCTCCAGTGCAACACACAGGTGCATACACGCGTGCTTCTCCAGCTGCCTGTCCTTCTCCCCAGGGACCCACCCTAGGTCACATGCATTCTCCAGGGCCCTCTGTCATCCTTCCGTGTCCCCTTGTTGATCCATCTGCTTTGCCACCCTCCAGCCTTCTGGGTCCCAATGTGGCCTCTGTCTCCTCCCTCCTCAGAGACCATCCCCGTGCTGGAGCCAGGCGCTGGGTACTTGTGCTGCACCAGGTGGCAGTGGGGACAGAAAGACGCTAGGCAGTGTGTGGCTGGCCATAGCCACTCAGCCCTTCTTCTGAGCCACGCTTCTCTGTCCCTCCAGGGTGAATTTCAGCCATTTAGCCAAGAGGCTCCTGCAGGTGTTCCAGGAAGAGTGTGTGCAGAAGTATCAGGCGTCCTTGGTCGCGCACTGCAGGTGGATGAGGTAATGGTCTGGCCCTTGGCCCTGAACTCGGGTCCCCCGGGGCCTGGCCCAGCCCTTCCAGGCTGCAGATGACTCAGCGAGAGAGGTCAGCGCAGGAGGAAGAGCCAGGCAGTGCAGGTCTGGGTACCTGGTAAGCCAGGCATCTGCCGGGTGATCTCCACAGATTTGCTTATTCAGTCTGCAGCACCGTTCTGTACAGTAGATGACCTCGCCACCCCATTTGGCAGCCGAGGGAACTGAGGCTTGGATTGCCGGCCTCTTCTGTTTCACAGCTAGTAGGCAGCAGACCGCACCCTGTCTGGTAAACCTGCCTCCCAACTCTGGATTCTTCCCACCGCCCGGCTGGCAGTGGTGGAGACATCTTGCTGATGAGACCAAGGCTCCCGAGTGCAGGACAAGCAGCTTCCGGCTTCCGAGTGGCGGTCGAGCCGGGCAGGTGGTGCCCTGCAGCAGACCCTCTCACACCTGTACCTCCGGGAGTTTGGGGGCTCCTTCTTGGGCAGCCCCCGCGTCCCCTCCTGAGAAGAGGGCGGTTTCCGAGTCTGTGTGACTTGTGGGCCTGTGATGGCCCCGCCTCACGATACAACTCCTGTGCCTGGCTCCTCATCCCGGCCCAGCTCCTCTGGGTGAGCCCTGAGGAGTCAGGGTTGAGAACCAACCATGCTTTACTGGCTTGCTTTGCTCTCCATGCTGAGCGCAAATATCCCCGTTCACACACAGCCCCAGTGACAAGCGCCCCTCTGTATGTCGGGCAGCTGACAGCTGGGCCACACTCAGAGAGCAGGGACAGTGAGGGAGGCAAATGCCAGGGGCCCTGGGACCTGAGAGCCACGTCCCGCTCCAAGCTGACTTCCACCCGCTTCTCCAGAGAGGTGCAGAAGGCCCGGAACCAGCTGCGCCTGGCCGGCTGGTCTGTGACCACCTGCAACACAGAAGCGCAGGGAGCCCAGGAGAACCTGAGCGAGGTTCGAGCCTGCAGGGCCCCGGGGCTGGGGGGCTCGGATGCCCTGCGTGTGGGGTGGGAGTCACTTCCCTGTCTCTGGACAGAGCTGCCTTGACCGAGCCCAAGTCGGTCCGCATGGGTTGGAGGCCTCTGACTATGAGCAGGCCCGAGGCGGGGACGGGGCGCGTCTGAACTCTCAGCCTGAAGGTCACCGCAAGGGCAGGGGTCACCGGGCCCAGAGGGGCTGCCTGCTCGGCTCCCAGCACAGTGCAGGCAGCGGCTCCCTGCCGTCAGAGGCCCGAGTCCCCTAGCCCTTCTCCGGAGCCTGTGGCTCAGGACGTGTCACGCGAGGGTGGGTTAGACGCAAAGGCGAGCTGGCAGCTGGATCCTTCAGTCCCACTCCGGGGGTGCAGGCCGGGCGGTTCTGCTACCCTCTTCCTCAGCGTGGCCTACGCAGCAGCGCACAGGCTGGCGCATCCCTCACCGGCGTGTGGCTTCGCTTCAGATCCTTCGGCGGCTCCTCCAGGACAGGACGAAGGGGGCCGAGGCCTCACCATCCGACCCGTCTCCTCACCCCAGCGCTGCTCCCAAAGACCTGGTCGCGCAGTAAGTGCCAGAGAGGGCGAGCGTGCACGCTGCGTGCTGCGTGCGTGCTGCGT